GCCTTTTATTTCTTGTGCAATGCCAGAAAACAGCTGAAAGGGCTCGTAATCCTGGGCTAATGCTGCACTTTGCTCCAGTGTCTCTGGGCAAAACTGCCCCGGGGGCCTCTTCCCAGGCCTGGCTCCTCCACTTTTTCCTTCCCTTACCTGGTGCCACYGGCATCATTCCGGCTCACCAACGGTCCTCTGAGCTACTTGCCCAGTTAGATCCCTTTCAGTGCCACCGCACAGATAACGGCTGAGGCTTGTTCCCAGCTGTGAGCTGGGTTCTAGAGGGGCTTATTTCCAAGCATGTGCATCCACAGAGTTGGCTCATGCTCCTCTCAGACTCCTATTATGCCATCCTTGAGCTGAGAGACTGACAAGGCGTGTGAAGAGCAGCCAGGATTTTACACTCCTGCATACACACAGGCAGAGAATGTGAAAACATCCACCTCCTCTAATTATACAGTGGGGTTTCCAGTACAGCTTCTATAACTATGGGTAGCATGGCAGTGACTGGCAGGAGGTGAAGCTTCCCAAATTCTCTAACTTCTGCCCTTACCTACTGCACCCATTTCTAGCTCTCCTAGTTAAAGCAGCTGCAACCAAACAGTGCTGGAGAGAAAGGGGAAGCTGAGAAAGCTAAAAGCCCCAGGAAACAAAGGACATTCCCCAGAGCAGATCATCAACTCCTCTCTGTTCCTCAGCTTTGATACATTTAAATGTCTGCTGCTTAAATGCATCTGGAAGAATCCCAGCYCTTCCCTGTTAATGGTTGCTGAGTAGGCAGATTCCCTTGATGACAAAGGATGGGCAATCAGGGTGACTGCACCAGAGGAGGCAAGAGCCCTGAGTGGCTGCCAAGGGAGGGYCCATCACCTCATGGTCTCTTCTGGCTTCACATCTGGTGAGCATGGGCAATGAATGTTATTATTTCCAAGGAGCATGCCATTGAAGTATCACTCTGCATTTATTCAGACTGTAAGAAATAAACCACTGGAGAGCAATGCTAGCTCTAAACAGGTAAAGACATTGAAGAAATTGTGGTTTGCTCACAGTATTTGGGATGAGGAAGCAAAACTTCCTCACTGACAGCAGCCAGCCCTTCCTTACACCAACCTGTATAACAGGGGTGTCACAGTTGCACATCTGCAGCTGCAAAGCAGACAGCATCATTGTAGGATCTCGCTCTTCCTGTCAACAGACCAGATGGTCCTGATCCCTGGGTCTCAGTCCCAGAGCTTTCCCATCACATGCTCACAAATCCCTCAGACTCATCAGCATCTGCAGCCTTCAAAGGAATTCAGTGCTTTGCCTTCCAAGCAGCACAGTGCTGGGCTTTCAGCAAATGCAAAGGAAGGATGTCACTTAAGAGAGAAATAATATGCAGCAAGATTGGTGTGAGCCAGTCCTGAGAGCTGCAGCTGCCTGTGGAAGCTGGGCAACCGTATTTTCTAGTTTTTTTTATTTATTTTTTTTTAAACAACTGTAAACATGCCTACATAGAGGAATTCGTCAGGCTTTGCTGCCATGCTTATGGAATCTCCATCCCCATCCCTGTGGGTTTAAGGTGATGTGGGGAGAACCCAGAGTCTCATCGAGTTCTGCACTGAGCTTTGGGTGCCTCGTGTCACAACGAGGCAATCTCCACAGAAAGCAATCTGCGTGTCCTGTCATGTGCCTGACCATGAAGTAATATTTTCCAGTGTTTGTAGAGWGAATAACTTGCACTACAAGGTACAGGAGAGCAATTTTGGTCTTTTCAACAGTGAAGCTCAGCTCTTAATAGCCACACACAGAGAAAAAGAAAATGCTGCAAATGGGAAATGCAGCCTTTTCCTTCCCTGTCAAACTGTGGAACAAACAGAAACTACTTTCTGACTGTATGCTTTTAGGAGAAATTAACACCCGAGGGGTCCTTCTCCAGCATCATTGCTGCTCTGACCTTCCAGGAGAGTGCAGTAAATACTGAGCTTTCAGCACAGCTGTTATTAAACATAAATATTTCAGCTTAACTCCTACAATCCCCTTGATGAGGTTTCTGGACTTTGCTCTCTGCAGGCCCAGGTGAACCTGAGAAGGAAGAGTTGAGGAGAAGGGCTGGTGCAGGTGGGCCAGCAGCCTGCAGATGTGTCCCAAAGCCAGTGCCCAGATCCACGCTCCGAGGGGGGAAGCTGCACCAACAGCTCCGTGGACTGTGTAGAGGATTCAGGGGGAACTGTAGCATGTTACAGTGCAAAATTTATTCRTCTCAGGTTGGCTGCCTGTGGCAGGGCACAGATAGGAAGGGGATCAGGCTGTGTGAAGTACAGAGCTGTTTGCTTGGGAGGTCAGYTGGTGCAACTCTTCTTGTCCCAGGGATCAGGCAAAGCCAAAAGCAAATATCTCCATTAAGCGTTTGCAGGAAGAACTGGAGATTTATTTCTTGTATGATTTAAAAGGGATTATTTTCTTGCAGCTGTAAACTGGGGKGAGAAGATTACAGAGACCATGGGGTTACAGGTCATCATTTTATCCATTCCCATTTTCTCCATACTGCAGGAGCCTTTCTGCCACCCTGACACACAGAGCTGTAAAATGGAAATTTGATAATTCCATAATAAAWGGCACTTATGTATCAAAACCCCCAAAATCTAAAGCCAACCAYTGAAATAAACCATCTAGATCTGTCTCTTAATTGTTGTGTGTTTTTTTAGGATAGTGCTATGGCAAGTGCCTTTCCTTCTCTCTGCTCAGATTCAGCCTCTGGTTTGATTCCCTGAACACCACAGGTCGTGAGGACATTGACAGGTGTGGGCTCAGCTTTCACAGATTAACTAAAGAACAATTCTGAACATCCAAAGGGAAATTCTCAAGGTCAGCTAATGCAGTGCTGCCTCCTGATCTCTGCAGAGCTATTCCACAGATGAGCTTTGAATATCAAATACTTCCTCATTAACCCCAAGGGCCACCCCAGCTTCCAGGCTTGGAGCTACTCTTGCTGTGACTGAAGTCACAGGGGAAAACTAAAGGGGTGACAATTCTCGAGTGGCACTGGTAGGTTGGCAAAGCAATCTGGAACAGAGAGGCATACAGCTGGTTGGGGCTCTGGACCATCACAACTTACTGAGGCTCTACCAGGTTAAAATGGTATCACTCAACTTGCAGAGAAGTAAATGGATCTTGCATGGAATTTCCTGGGTATTGTCCTGCAGGTTCCACAATCCCCAATCCAACCTGTGTATCCAGATCCTCCATGGGCACTGGAGGCCAGAGCTACCCACACACTTGTGCCCATGGAGGCTGGCACAGCTCAGCCACCCTGCCTGCCAGATGCCATCCACAGCCCCACTCCCTTTGGTGGGCCAGCAAGGACTGTGGCTTTCTCAAGTCATGGCAGGGGTCATGTTTGCTGTGTCATGATAAGAGGCTGGGAAGGAAGGAAGGTGGTGTTCTGGGATGGAGATGGTATGTAGGCGATAGAGGTGGCAAAGGTGGAGGAAGCCAGTGCTCAAAAGCAGGTTTTTTTTTTTAGAGGCATCTTGGTTACATTCTTTCTTCCTTTTAGATATACACGGAAGTTGGGACTTCATGCTTTTAAACTGATCTTTTAGGCAATGATTGGACTTTCATTCTCTTCACCAGATTACCCTGAGGCACACCTTGGCACACATTGCTGCCCAGCTCAGCTGGATTCTCCTGCCAAGGTCACATCTCTCCTCATTTGCCCAGGKAAGCAGGCACAGGCAGCAACTGCCCTGGCAAAAAGCCCTGCTGCCAGACCTGCAGGAAGGGAGGGGCAGGATCTGCACCTCATCTAACATCGATGGGGTGAAGGAGGAGGCTGCCTCAAGCTCTGCCTGGAGGCAGTGGCTTCAGGCACAGGAGAGTTGAACAGGGGATTAGTGCTTTAAGTTAGTGAAAAGGTGCAGGAGAAATGGGTGTGGTACTGGGTGGCGAAAGAGTCAGGGGAAAGTAGGTAGCGTTGAGGGAGATCAGTTTTGACAGGTTTGGCAGTTACCTCCTTCCCTATCCTTTTATTTGTGATTTTCCTAGGAGTGTGTCATATCATTGTGCCCTTCACTGTGCTCAAATGTTCCTGCTGGGCCTGAAAACAAAACAAAACTCCTCGAGCTCGGCTTGGCTGGCAACACTGTGATGCCCACCTAGCAGCAGCTGACTGGAGGGTGAAAGCTGAGCACCCTGCCAGGTGCACTTCTCACCTCTGCTAAGCTTTACCTCAGTCACACAYCCACCCCTACCATTCAAATGAATGTTGTCGTAAAACGGCAAGTTCTCACTAGTAAATGAAACCTGTAAATTTTAAACATTTTTGAAGTTATTGTACCTTGTCTGTACACACAAATTATAATTATTTTGTAGAAATAATATATATATATGTATATTATTTGTATATTGTAGAAATAATTTGGTATCTAAGTTGGCAAAAACCAACCATCTCATTCCATTAGTTCTGGCTATCCAAAACCATACTCTCCATTGTTGCACTGACTGAAAACCCCCTTTCTTACACTTGTGACAGAACTTCTCTGGACTGTGAAGCCAGCAGCAGCCTTTGGCCGTACCCTCGTGTGCATGGAAGGAAAAACATGTTGTAGGCTTGGGTAAACTCATTAAACAAGTGTAAAAAATCCCATCTCCAATCTTTGACTTTTTTTATTGCTCAGAGAAACAGACAGAAGAGACTAAAATGCCATATGGGCAAATAGAACATTTAGAAACCTGAAAGATGCTCATCACATGAACAACACATTGTAGATGTATATTTATTAAAAAAATAAAAACCATTACATTGGAAATAGAAGAGATATTTCTTGAATAAATATCAAGCAGTAGGAGAACAAAAAGCTTTTTCAACCCATTCCAGGTGTTCACTGGACAGCAAGAGTAAAGAAAAGCTTCTGTTAATTCCTGGAGCTTTTGACTCCTGGAATTATTTCCTAAATCATGTAGAGTGCCTATGTTAGTTATATTAACATTTTAGACAAATAACCTGGAAAAATAAAACAACAAATAACCTGGAAAAATAAAACAAAACAGAGTAGTGTGTACACTGAGGATAAAGAGAGGGCCAAGTGACTGAACTGTTTTGGCAGGATGATTTTAGATTAATCTATCATTTATCTGTAAGAAGAGTTGTTTTTAGCAGTTGTTCTTGCAAAATGCAAGGTCGTTAAAACAGATAATTAAAGGCATACCTAAAGCAAACTCAGAGCAGGAGTTTTGTATGGGAAGGGGTACCTGGTTAGCACAAGCCTTGGGAACAGGGTACAGAGTGAGAGCCCACATGCTGAAATGTCTCAATTTTTGCTGAACTGGTTAAAACTGAATGGATTAAAAMCACACAACTAAGGATGGCACAATCACATCTTCATTCTGCTTTCAGACATTTGCTGATTCACCTGAGTGTAGTTATTTTAGTTATTCTGACTGCAGTTGGTCATAAATCTGACCATTCTGGAGAAGGTATGTTTAAGGGTGGTTCTGTTCCCTGGAAAAACTTCCTGATCATAAATACATCATCAGAATTCACAGAGAACAAGCCCATGCCTGTGGCCACTGACAGTGATACACAGTTCTATTTACAGTTCTATTCGTCTAAAGACTAATATTAGGGCACTTCATCAGGGTCACCCTTGCTCATTAATRGACCACACCAACTTTATACACCCCTTTAGTCACATCCGTTAGCTTGAGCATTTATGGTCACATGACAAAGATTTTATTTCCTCTCGTGCACTGATTTTGCAGTAGAACTTGTAAAAGGACTTTAAGTTTAGTTAACCTATGCAAAGATACCCACCCAAGAAATACACGAACACCAGGTGAGACTAACTTTGCTCTGTGAATGTCCAACTGCAGACTCTTTCAGATGGCTCCTTAGCTTAATTTACAGTTTTGGCTCTAAGTAGACCAGTGACAAGAATCTTCACAACTAATGAGGTCATACAGTTATTGTTCCCAGTGGAAATAGGATTTTTGGCTGTTTAAACAGATACAGAACCTAATGGACACTTTAATTACTACATTCACCATAAATGCAATGACCTTAATTTTATTTATCCTGGATACTTCAGTCTATTAAAAGTTTTGTATTCACACCTTTTCYGAGGCACAGTGTGCACCATCAAACTAAGAATTGTGTCCATAAGCAGACAAAAGCAAGGAAAGSATTACATGGAAAGTGCCTATGCTAAACTCACATTAAAAAATGCATGTCCCTCTGCAAATCAACTCTTCAGTTGTCTCTGGTCACAGCCGTACTGGCAGGGACATYCTATCAGTCAATAGCTACTGCGCTGGAGTAGCAAGTGACACAGGCTTTGCAACACCAAAAGCAAATGCAGAGGAGCAATMGTGACTGTGAGATTTATGTCCATGTTACACTATGTTTAATGTAGTAGGACATGGTACCAACATGAGAACACGCTCCTCTTTGTGAAGCCAAAAACCATCTGAAATGTAATGCTGCTTCACCTCAGATCAGCATGTCTGCACTGGAAATCTGCTAAGTTCAACTAATCATGTCCTCAGACTCTGTTTCAGAATAAACATGAGATGATGTTGACTTACATTTTTCTGGCATTTTTGATGGTGTAAGTCCCTTGTTGAATTATCTAGACAAGTAACAGCTATAAATACCACAAACACTACTGACATTTGACCATTTACTGAAAGAAAAAGTCAAGTATAAAAAGTAGACTTTTCAGTGATAAAAATGGGAGGTAGACACCTCTGTTTAAGGTGATTTGAAGGCCATTAATAATCTCCCTTAATACTTARTAAGTGGCACTTGAGTAATTATTAACTTGTTTAAATTCCAAAAATATGATGATGATAAAATGATGGTCTCTGTTATATCTAAAGATAATAAAGTTAGAAAATGAAGAGACTAAAGGTACATGAGCACCTGTGAAAACACTTATAAAAAGATTTTAAAAAATGCTTCCATTTCACTTGTGTGGAAAAAGTGAACAGAATAATTACTGTTGTTTCCATGAACATCTTGCATCAGGTGACAGAAGATCAGGAACAAACCCCAAATGCTGATAATCATCTCCTCTGCTCTATCACAGCCTCTTTTTTAACATCACTGTAACACCACTGTACCTCAAACACATGGGTTGCACCCAAAAAATCAATGAAAAACTCCAAGCGAAGAGACGGAATTATACAATACTGTGTAACACAAGAAAGAAAACTTAAAATTTCAAGTTGGAGTCTCTGCAAATAAGTGATCTTTAAAAAGTGATCTCCTGAAATACTAACTTAATTCAGAACAAATCCTGTGCTGTGTAAAACTTGACATATATTTCCTAACATTACACCTCAAAATAACTTTAAGAAARAAGAAAAATATTTAAGGTATCTTCAGAGAACTTCCGAGTTGGCAACCTCTCCTATCTATCAGATGCTCAAATTGTTGCCTCAAGATCAGCAGTCCATATCTTATCAAAAGCCATAAAATAATTTTTTATCTTATTCTATTAATGAAAGTAAGCTTACTTTGTCTTATTTGCATGTACCTTTCTTTTTAAAGGCCTATGGCCTAGTGTTCACAAATTAAAAAAAAAAAAACTATACAGAAAAATAAAGCTTAATAGCACACAATACAGAAAATGACAAATTTCAAACCCATGACATTGTTATTGTTGAAAAGTGCATTACAATTAATCTACAAGTCAGAGATGCTTTGATCATGTTCATATTTTCCATGATTAAATCCTTAACAGTTTTTCATCTTCTTAATTAAATGAGAAATCTTTCATCCACCAAGGTTTTGGATGCCAAATTCTTCTGCCCAAGTGTATTACGTATAAACCTAAATATCTAAGAAGATTTTTAGAAAACATATATTAATGAAGAAATACTTAGACCAGTATGTTTCACAACCAACATAAAATAGTAACTTCAGATTATCTTTGAATTGTAAATAATATGAGTGAATTAGGTGCTTAACTTCCTTTAGGATTTTTAAAACACTTTCCACTATCTTTTCATCCTAAATTATGATGGAATTATGTGTGATCAACTTTAACAGATATTTGTGTTTTCTACTGAAAATTATTTGTAACCTCCTCATTCATGATCACCAYGTGAACAAAATTAATTTCTCACAAGTCTATTTGACAAAAAAATATAAAACTATTCTATAAATTCTCAGTATAATTTCCTGTCACTGCAAACTGCTAACTCACTGCCTTTATTAACTATATACACTACCATACAGACTCCCATTTAAAATATATTACTTTGTTCTTAAATTGAGATTTACCTCTTGTTGCAAATATGTTAGAATAGCGGCTAAAACAAAACTTTGGGAAGCTAAATCCACAACAGAGAAAAACAGGATATCAAAGATGAGCAGTGTTGTTTCATTGCCATAATAGAGAACATCACTGAAAGAGTGTCCTTCGTCTGTGGAAAGAGAATATTAAAAAAAAAATTATTTCTTGCATTGCTGGTTTGTGGAGTTCATCAGTCCTTGCTGACAAAGCTGATAACGAAAATCAGAGATGGAGCAAGTTATGGCATTCTATGGCAACACAGAGATAGTCCTGTCATTCTATTTAAAAATAATACAAACTTTTCACTTATAAAATGTCATCATACTGATGAACACAACTGGTAAAACCAGTTGTGTCACACACAACTCTATTTTTCATGAAATCTCAATCAGATTATTTTTTAAAGTTGTTTTAAACTAAGAAGCATATGTAACTTTCTTGTCATTGAAATTTTTGGCAATTATTAGCTCTGGCCCCAACTCAACAAAATCATAAAAACATATTCTTTAATGCCTTACTTAGGAGGAGGTTCGGATCTTAGGATTATAATGGTTAASAGTGCCCCAGAAAATGGGTCTTTTAAGGTGAAAGTACCTTTTTCATAGCCAAAGTACTCTAGATAATTTATCTACTTCTTTATTTTATCAAAAAGCACCACTTTTAAAAGTGAAAAGAACACTTAAACAATTACAGGAAACACATTCTTTTCTCTCTTCCTACTTTTTTWAAAAAACATCCAATACAAATTTGATTGGAAACTGTGTATTTTCACTATAAATTGTGKATGTCCTACTGCCATGAAATCCTGCTTTATATCCAAACTTCTGGGGACCGTGGCAGTCTATACTATCAAACAATGTATTTCTATCAATGCTTATGATTGTGAACTTCATAAACACGTGCACATCTGTACACATGTGCACATCTGTGTCTTTTCAGTTGCCTTAAATAAAAACATCACAGTCAAATGATTAATTATAAATAGGATTTCTGTAACCTAAAGAACTTCTCTTAAATACCTCCCTCAGCAGCAGTCATTTAATGATCCCTTCTGCTGTAAAGTCCATTCTAGACTGTAAATCCTGGGAAAGAAATTTATACAGAAGGTTGGATACTTAAAATAGTACAAATACCACACATCTTTTTACCATTATAAAAAATACTTTTCTCTATTGGTTCCATGAATTCCATGCCAAGAATCCGTTCAAGCAGCAACTTATCTTTAACAATATAATCCATTTCTTTATGACCCTGTGAGAAAAAGAAAAACAACACTTCTTGTTTTATTTCAAAACTGCTACAAAGTGATGTGCAGCTACTTATGAATGCAGCTACCTTTATGAATGAAAAAAACATGTTTCCAAGACAAAAATAAACACAGAACAAAAAGGGTTTTGTCATTTTTAAATGCAGTCTACGTTGTGGGGCAGCACTCCAATTTTTTTRTTTTTGAATGAAGCATTGTTCTGGTTGCCATAAATCCTTTAACAATGAATCTTAAAGCATCTATGCTGAAAAAGGGATTACAGTTATTTAGTTACAGTTTTTAGTCTCAAAATAAGTACATTTTCCTTAATATAGTAATGTTAATATACTATATAATACAGTAATGTCAATACATACATGATCAATAAAAGARCTGAGAAATTTGTTCATGGCATTGTAAGCCCTTGTGCTTTGCTCAAAAGTATTTGCAGATGAGTCCAAAAGCCTGGCAGGACCACGTTTCTGGAATAAAACAAGACCTTATGTCAGCAGAAAACTTTCATATTTTAAATAACATTTAAAGCATACCAATATCTCACTTACTCTTGTTAGGGTTTCACGAATCCAGTCATAGTGCAGTCGCATTTTTCTTGAAATGGAAATCTGAAATATCTGGCCATCTGTGTTTGGTAACAAACCTCTCTGACTACACAGATTTTCCTATACAATTAAAGCAATTTAACATTATTAATGTCATTCATAGACCCAAAAATATTCAAAAGCTTTTCATTTCCTCTCYTTCACATATACATAATATCTCTAAATATTTGAATCCACTGCACTCTTGTTCCAGTGCAGCAAGTTTTTCTTACCACATGAAATCCTGACCCCTGCTGTCACAAAGTCGTATTTATCTTTTTACCTGTGGTTCATAATCTTCTAATAATACATATTCTGATATTCACTCTGAAAACCTTTCCTTTAGGTCTATAATTTCTTCTATATTTGACCTGTTTTTTTTGTTTCTTTGTTTTGGATTCCTGACGTTTTCCATATGTTTTTCAGGTCACATTTTAATAAAGCTCAGAAACCCCAAGAAAAAAAAAAATCGACATCTTCATAGGGGAAAATCCTTCATTTTCCCAAAATTACATTAAAATAAGCAATTAGGTAAAAGATTGGAGGAACACATAAGTCAAAAATATTATTAGTAAGATTTCTCTATGTTTCAGTGTTTGAGTTTTAATTTTCACATGGTTATGGTTTTTTTTTCTGTCCACTTAACACTGAAATAGCAATATCCTTATTTAAYGTACWTTCTTAGTTGTMCCTAAAAAGATACAAGATGTCATAWAATWTAGKGCAGTCTCTGATCTTGTATTAGACATTCTATATTTGCCWGATCTTGCAGCAAAGGTGCAATATATGGCAAACTAGAAAAAATACTTACACAAATTAATTTCTATAAAGAACAGGTTGTATCATCATAGTAGAAGAGATGGAATAAAATAATTGATTGGAAGMCTACATGTTTCTGTATTATTTTTTCATAACTGTCTCTTTACAAAAGCTTTTTTTGATATGCACCTTTTTCAATGTGGCTGTGACCTTATGAAAAGCTTAAATATTGAAAAGAAGGTTCTTAAATACATGAAAAWAACTTTTTAGAGGAACAGGAATTCTATATCTTTGAAATCTGAAGAAGCAGCAAGAGGAAATAGTGAAGAAAAAGGAAGATGAAGAGCTAGTTAAAAGAGCAATGGAGTCTTATATTTACACACCAACAGCTGCTGTCTTGTAAGTAACATGGTTCAATGTAGCGCACAATTGCAGATCCATAATGAAAAGGTGTGGGGTCTTTATGTAAAACAAATAATTAGAGCAAGCATAAACTTGAATACTTTTACTTACTGCTTCTCTCTTCAGGTTCATATTAATTTCTTCCATATTGGTATCTGCATGTCCATGCACTGAGCGACCATGGATATAATGACCAAAGCAGTTGTGAGACAAGAGAAACACTGAAATCTAAGAGATRAGGGAAGAGAAAAACACTTTAATTAACAATTATCATTTTATTTTTGATCTCCTATTCATGGTGTAAATCAGTCAGACTAGCTAGCCCTGCTACAAATACAAAGTAGGCAAGTGCCAAAATAAATTTGGGAGAAAAATATTTAGCAACTCTTTACTAATTAGTTTTGTCTATATGTAACTAGAAACACATACCAGCTTCAARTTTAGTTTATCAACAGCAAAGATCACGACTTAATTCAATCGAGCCAAGAASTAAAAGTTAAGTTAGTAGATTTTATCTTGATTCAAAGGTTATTTCTGTGCGACATAATACATATGCATGATTCCAGCTCAACTCCTAAAAGACTGTATTTAACAGAACTTCATTCAGTATGATACAATGCTTACATATCACATAAATTCCAAAACTAACTGTTTCTACAACTCAGGTACTACATGGGTGTTTCACAGAAGATAAATAACCAGGTCTGGAAAGGCTGATAAAAGGGGTGACTCTGTATTTTTAAGAGTTCTGGACAAATGAAATAATCCAATCTGTTCCAACTGCACTCTTCTTTGGTTAAAGGGRAATTCCTGCAGTACAAAGCTTCAAGACCCATATATAAAGAAGAGAAAGGGAAGTAGTTCAGATGTGAATAAATGAAAATACATGCAAAAGGTGATAACTGTTAAGAGTGACAAAATGAAGTTCAGCAGTTGAGGGACAAACCCAAGACAGGAGCAGGAACTGAACACAAATGTATTGAATAAAACCAAGACAACTTGCAAGTCAGAAGGACTAAAACGCAAACCAGTAGAAAGAATGGCAGCAAATGGTTCCTAATTTCTGCTGAGTTGTTGTTTTTSAATTCTATATAAGCACATGTAACCAATTTAAATTAAAAAAAGAAGCAACCAAAAAACCTGAAAATCACCAGTTTAAAAGAACATATTGGTACCTAAGATTCCAGAATCTTTTTTCCAATTAAAGTTTAACTGCAGTCAGTCAGGGTTTACCAATAAAATGTGCTGAAAGAAACAACAGCTTTGGCTGTTAGATAGCAATCTAAATTAAATGAACAAATATTATTTAATATTCTTACAACTATTTTATGTCCTATTCTATTTAAAACACCACTCTACAAATGAGACAAAGAAATACTTACATTGCTCACGCAACACAAATCAACAAATTGGCTTATCTTATCTCCAACAAATCTTTCATARAACACAGCAAAAAATATAACCTGAAATAAATCAACCAAATTTTCTTTTACTCGTTCATCAGATTTGACATTATTAAGCAATTCATTTTACCATTTAACACCCACAAATAATAGACTTCTGTAGTGGTCACCATTGCATTRGACTTTATGAAACAGGATAGACATACTTCTTTTAAGAAGTAAAGTTGTAGCAAGAACCTGCTTTTCATTTTGAAGTTGTGAAATGCTTCAAAGTTGTTCAAAACCAAACCAAGTATTTGCATAAAATCATATCTTTGAGAGGATTACAATTCTCATTCCAAAGTGAGATGTCTCATATCTCAGAAGATTCATTTTGAGTCTARAAGGTGTACTATGCTAAAACAACTAAATATAACAGTTAAGAAAATACCCAATGCTATGATAAGCAATTTGGACAGCCTAGTGATTTTTTTTCTAGCTTCCAAGAACTAGCCTGAAAATGATAATTAAGGATGTCATGTGTTTCACATACCTGTAAGATGGCAATGGCTATCCAGAGTGCAGCAGACACACCAAATCTTAAAATGCGGCTCCAAGGAGCTACATAGCTCTCACTGCTTCTTGTAAGACTGGAAGAGGCATCCATTAAAGCCAAGTTTGAAAATCCCACCACCTGAAGAGATAAGAAGGTCAATATAACAATCAGAGACAACTGTATATTGAGAACAGAGAATAGTATTAATTACAATCCTGTTGTTTCCATCATAACAGGAAGTAAGAAAAAAACATGAAAAATGGACATGGGAATAGTAGCATGTTCACTATGACAGAGCTCACTTGTGTAATCCAGTGTTATTACTGAGAAACATAATTAAAACATAACCTGCACACATATTGGTTGATACACAAATTACAAAATGTGCAGCTAAATCTCACAAAAAGTCAGTGTTGTGTGTTACTGAAAAACTCCAAAAGATTCTACTGCTGTACTGCATAGGGATATAATTTCTGCCAAATTACAGCTCTTTGGTCCTATGTATTCCAGTGTTAAAGCAAATTTTTAATGCTTTGCAACTTTTAAAAGACTTGATTTTTTTTGTTTTTATTGAATGGAAATTTATTTGCCTCCACTGTCTATATGGTTGAATCTGTTTAAAACAAAAAATCTAGAAGAAGTTCCAAAATAAAAAAGATGAGAGGAACATTATGTCTTGAAACACTTAAGAAGTGAAAACCTTTCACAACTGAAGTTGCACCAAAATACACTTACCATTTCCTGATAGTCATTTCCTCAAGTCCTACTGCTTATTATTTGGGAAAAGAGACTCACACCCACCTCACTACACCCTCCTTTCAGGTAGCTGCAGAGTGCAGTAAGAAGAGGGRCTCTCTTTTCTCACATTCCTCTCTTGTAACATGGAACCTAAATTGGTCCTGGTTTGGTTTTACCAACAGCAAAAATGTTCACATAGTGAATGAGGAAACTTCCGGGATTTTTATTAATTAATTTAAAATAAAAAATTTAAACTAGACATATAAAATTGAATAGAAGTATTAAAATATGTATAAGAACCTCACAAAAACAACTAAATGCTACATGCTTTAAGAATACTTCCCAAAATAGAAAAAATTACCAAACTATAAAAGAAACAAACCAAAATATTTTTTAAAAGCTAAAACACAGTTTATCATGTATCCTGAAGCTGTAACTGAAGGCATACTGCCATCAGGAACAGAACTGGCACATTTAATTTCCTGCATTCTAAAAGGGCACTGTAGCAAATTACCAGGAAGGAAGCTCAGTTCAGATAAAAATRAAATCAGAAATAAAGCTGTAGACTGTGGCAGGAGGGAGCTCGTAGGCAAATAAAAAATTGAGTGTGTACACAGATTTATCAGTCTCTTAAGCTCTTTAAGGTAACTCATTACCTTAAAAAAATTCAAACAAAACTAACAGAGGTCTCCAAGGTATTTAAAGGTTGGATTTTTTTTWAGTCTTCCTTAAAGTAATATTGCAATGACTTATACATACATTTAAATWAAAAAAAATATTAAAATAAYTATTTTATTAAGTTAAATGACTTCAAGTGAATTTAAAGGGATTCCCTATTACCACACAGAATACAAGAATTAAAAATCAGACCCTTATGTGACACTCTGGCTGTGAATTATGAAATAACAATAATAATAATAATAATAATAATAATAATAATAATAATAATAATAATAATAATAATAATAATAATAATAATAATAATAATAATACCTCCAGAAAAAAAAGAACTGCCAGCACTTGAAAGAGAGGATTTATTTTCCTCACGGTCTGAATTTCATTCCATTCATTTGCTATAAAGTATGTCCTCCATATGCTCACAGGTGCAGCAGCACTTTTAAYAACACCTTCACCTAAAAAAATGTACATACAGTAAATCTCTAAAATTTAATACTTGAGAATGATATCTGAATTTAACCAAAGATGTTTATACAAACAAGCATAGTTTGAGTTACCTTCAACTGCTTTAAGAACTTTGCCCTTAGGTCTCTCCCAGTCAATAAAGAAAATATCAATAGCAAGTTGTGAAACCAGCAAGTGCAAAAATTGAAGAGCCTAAGAGAGAAAMAGGAGAAACACAAGTAAGCACAACAGACAAAGATGAAGAAAAAGTCTTGAACAGATCAATCATTAAACATAACAAGTGCTATCTTGACTATACTTGAGAYTGTAACTTTATTACCAACTTTTGATTCTTTTTTTTTGTTTTTTTAAGTTTGGAATAATGGTAGGTTATGCGACAATGTCCAAAATTATGAAGAAGATACAGCAAAGAACAAAATTAAAAGAACTAAGTATTTCCCCATAACATACGAACCTGTATTACGAATTCCAATTCAATATAATACACATAATTTATACAACATTTGTATGTGTCATGAAGACAGAAGAGCGATCCCAGAATTCTACATATTTGAACATAATTATTTGAATCTGCCTTCTTCCTAGCCAGGAACTCACAGCACTTAGATTTTGCTTTAAAAGAAAGTGCTTGCTTTCATGATATGATGCTATTTTATTTGGGTTTYTTTATACCTCTATCCTTGAAAGAAAGATTTTTCAGTCTCTTATAATCTTCTTGAGACATTTGTTTTCCTATAAGSACTCCACAAAATCAATTTCTACAGAAAAATGACTAAATTCTCAGAAAAATGTAACTATTAGGACATAACATCTAGACACTAATAATTGTACAAGATATTTAAAAACAAGCCTACTGAAAATATACAGAAGCATGTTGACATGTATTTTATGGTGAGGAAAAAATTACTTACCTTTAAACTGAATGCACATGCTATGTATGTAACAAAATCTTCTTCTTGAGATGGAAGAGGTAAAAGGACAGATACAAACTGCTGAGCCTGTAATTGAGAAGYTACATTGAAACAGACATCTGGCATATGTGACAATGTAATAAACACTTAAGTGTGAATAAGCTTTTACAGAAAAAGATCAATATTCAATGTGCAATCATTTTGAATATGTAAAATATTTTAAGTGACTATTAAACAAACTGCAAGTAAAATGAACCCAAAGGAAAAGAAACAGGTGAACACAAAATTTAAGCACACAAACCAGACCATAATACAGAACTTGCCTCAATAGTCTGACAAGAAAGGGGAAAAAAAAAGAAAAAAGAAAATTAATGTTAATGTAAAAATATATTTAATATTACTAGGTTTTCATAACATCCAAATCTGGAAAAACACTTACTTTGAAGAAYACAAGCCAATAAATCCCTGTGCCCACTGTGATGATAAAGAAGACGTTGGCAAGATCTCCAGCATAGAACAGTAAGAACTTGAAAACTGTCTGCAATTATAAAAACATGCTGTAGAGATCTGTAAAGCTAATTAAGTAATGTATATGTTTATAAGGCATTCATATAAAATGTTACGCAGCTCACTTAGGAAACTCTACTATTGAAAAGTAGCCCTGAACAAAAGTTATCCACTGTGATTATATATTAATGGTATATTCACTAGCTGAAACTCCTACATGCTGGTCTTTGTTCAAAGAACAATTAATCTGAAAACTAAGTCCACTCAACTGATCAGAATAGCTCTGTAAATACCCTTCTTTTTAGCAGCAACACTTCCTGAATGACAATTTCAGAATCAAAAAGAATGTGAAAACCTGCTTCCTCAGGTGGGCCTAACTCCAGGGCACAGTTCTATCCAGCTAGGCTAGAAATTATTTCAGTTACCTTAAGAAAAGAAATAGCTATAATCACAGGGACAACCGCAAAGGTGACCATAAAGAGAGGATGAGATGTCCCATTTCAGTTTTCCAGCTGTTTATACCTGCAAGTCAATTATAGAGCTTCCTGTCCGCCTCTTCCAGCCAGCAGTCTTGAGAAGAGACCATAACACTGCCAGTCCACCCAACACACCCAATGCGATCTGAAAATAACAAAAATTATTTGCAAGTTTAAAAAAAACCCACACGACAGAAGTAAACCATTATATCAACAAATTAAAGGGAATTACAACTTACATCAGTCTGAATCTGAGCCTCTGACTGATTCATTTCATAGCTGACTGAGAAAGAAACCTGAATATTAAAACACAAACAATAAAAATGTATGAAAATTTTGATATGTTACAACCATTACAGACAGTGGTAGTTTTCACAGTTTTAGTTGGTGGGAATTCCCATGTAGGGCTATTACACAAGTACAACATACATCTTTATTTACTGCATATGATTTAGTGTGGTCTGGTGCCAGGCTTAGTACTGGCACGTGCTAAGCTACTCTTACTGCAGATTTTACCAGCACTAACGCTGGGGATGGGTGCCTGCTATCTGCAACTTACCAGATATACCTATTTGTAATTCTTTCAAATGTGCATGAACAGAACTAGAAACTGCTTATTAGATTTTCATAACACACTGCCAAAAACTGRAATTCCTACAGAACTAAAAGTATAGCTAAGGTAGCACAAAGATCTCACCGTCACACTCTGGGTTTCAGGATTTTGGATAAGCAGATCTGTGTAAGYGACAGTAATTAGTGGAGGGTAGATTGTTCCTCTCTGTGTATGGGGTACCAGACGAATACTGCAGAAATAGAGTATGATTTTTTAATTAAAAAAAGAAATGGATGAGTACATGGAAACCAATCACTGAAACTTGTACTTACAAGAAAATACTAAATAAACTGAACAMCCTGATCAACAAAATGTTAATTGCTAACCCAATGACATGGCACTCCACATTTTAAAAGCAACTGTACTTGCCATACAAAGGCAAGTACACAAACATATAAAAACAAGGGAAGGACTGTTTATTTGTAGGAAAATACCTGAATCAATCTTTACCTGTCTGAATCTCAGAGGAGGACAATACATAAAGAAGGAGAAAARAAGTTTCTTCCAAAATATATTCCAGCTGAGCTGAGCAAACAGTAATGACCCTAACAGGTGGTCTCACARTTTCAGTTAAATTACTACAGGCCTATTCTGGATCATATAACAGAATAGGCAGGTTGTAAAATTACTGCAAAAAAGAATATGGAGTATGAAATAACATCATTGTATAGTCAGCAACACACACACACTGAAGAAGTATTAACAGAGGAGTTTTTAGGTCTTTCCAGACCACACCTGCTTTAAGAGGCAACTGAATACCTGCTAACTTGCACTATGCAAACATGGTCTGGTCCTTGTACCTAGAGGGAATCAAGGGGATTTTAACTCTCTTAAGTCATCGTTGCTTTCTCTCATTCATCAGAACAACCTATGAAAATTCATGCCATTTCCAAATAAGCAATGAAAAAAGCAGCACATGTTACATATTACACATATTAGAAACTGCATGATAAAACAACTTTTAAGACAGTAAAATGCAGACTGTACAAAATTGGCTTTACTTTTTATGTACAGTGTATTATAAGAATTAGTCACCTTATTGTTATTTTGCTAGCAATCCGAATTACCCTTGGCAGTTTTCCCAAGTCATTCTCTTTTCCGCTAAGTGCATCCACCAAAAAAAATCGACGAGTCAAAAGCCAGTTGTTCATATTACTGCCTATGAAAAAACRTGAGTTTCACACATATGATGCAACACACAAAAAGAATTAAATGCATTAGAAACAACACATGTGGCTGTATAACATATAGTAACTAGTGAGGATATAAAATTGTTTATTTTTCAACTCAAACAAATATATAATAAGATTATTTTATTTGTGTATATTACTGATTGGAATGGTATATGGAACCAAAGCTTGCAGTTAAACTATCAGAACTTGCCCACTAAGTATTAAAAAATTTAAATGGAAACATTATGTGTTGTGGTAACTTTGAAAACAACACAGGAACAGTAATAAATATTGATTATTTCTATTTGAGGTTTTCAGATTGTTTAAATCCACAGAGATGTTACTATCACCATCTTACCTTGATTAACAAACTTTTCATTGTATTGAAGATTCAAATTTAAAACTGGCACAGCCCAAAGATGTTGTTGTCCATTGCCACCATTATATTCAAGGAAGAGGTCATAAAAGACTGGATTAGCAAAATCCAACAAAATCTTAGAAACTGAAATTTTGCACTACAAGAAAAAAAAAAGTTAAAATAAAAAGATCACTTTAACCATTTACTTATTTTGTCAAGCTGTGGATCCCTTCCCTACAAAATTATTGTGGAATCTGTCCCACTTCTTCACCAAAGACAGAGTCACAGAATCAAGGTTCACCATGAGACTGCTTTTCTCCAGGCTAAACACCTCCAGTTCCCTCATTTTTTCTCATCAGACTCATTCAGACTCAGTCCAGACCCTTCACCAGCTTCACTGCTCTTCTCTGGACTTGCTCCAGCACCTCAAATGTCCTTTTTGAAGYGAGAGGCCCAAAACCRGACACAGCATTCSAGGTGTGGCCTTACCTCTGCCCAGTGCAGTGGGACAGTCACTGCCCTGGTCTTGCCACACAATTCTTGCTATTGGCCTTCTTGGCCACCTGGGCATGCACTGGCTCATGYTTGACCAGCTGGCTGTTGACCAGCAACTCCAGATCTTCTGCTGGGCAGCKTTCCAGACACTCTTCCCCAAGTCTGAGCACTGCATGAAGTTGTGACCCAAGAGCAGGACCCRGCACTTAGCCTTGTTCAACCTCACACCACTGGCCTCAGCCCGTTGATGCAGCCTGTTCAGAACCCTCCCATCCAGCAGATCAACAATCCAACTTAGTGTCATCTGCGAACTTGCTGTRGGTGCCCYTGATCCCCTTGTCCAGATCATCAATAAATACGTTAAACAGGACCAGCCCCAGTACTGAGCCCWGGGGAACACCACTAGTTACCAGCTRCTAGCTGTTTTTAGCTCCATTCACCACCTCTGGGCCTGACATACAGCCATTTCTTTACCCAGTAAAAAGTGTCCAAACCACGAGCAGCCAGCTCCTCGAGAAAGCTGTGGGAAACGGTGTCAAATACTTTACTGAAGTACTGATAGACAAGGCATTCTAGCTATCTGCAAGCAATTACAYAGAACTAATGATTTTATACAAACTTGGAAATTATTGCAATTAACTAGAATGACTAATGGTGAGAATGAAGCTCTTAACATTTTTCAAAAGATTTGGAAACAATATCATAGTAAACCTTACAGACATTATATTTAAAACAGTGTAAACTTTAAAGTCAAGAAACATAAGTGCTGAAGTCATGGAGAACCATGAATCTGGTTCTGGGCCCACCAGTACAAGAGAGWAATGAAGCTACTAGTTATAGTCCAGCAAAGGCCACTATGGTGAGGATACAATGAAGCATCTCTGCTGTGAGGAAAAGCAGAGACTCTTTTGCCTGGAGATAAGAAGACTCAGGGGAATCTTATAAATATGAAATATTGTTCAWGGAAGGGTGTACAAGACAGAGGCAGGCTCTTTTCAGCAGTGGCCAGYGACAAGACCAGAGGCAATGGGCATAAACTGAAACAGGAGGTTCCCTCTGAACATCAGAAAACAGATTTTCACTGTCAGAGGGACCAAGCACTGACAGGGACCAAGCATAGTTTGCCCAGGGAGGCTGTGGTGTCTCACTCCCTGGACATAAAAACCCACGTGGATATTGTCCCAGGCAATCTCCTCTACATTGCCCGCCTTGAGCAGGGGTGTGGGCAAGATGACCTGAGGTCCCTGACTACCTCAACCACTCTCTGATGGTATGAAGAAATTAGATGTGAAAGTAGGCAACTTTTTGCAAATGCAAACAACCATGCCTCTTTGAATACTCATAATTTGTCAGCCATGTTTTTTCCAAAGCCACAGGGAAAAAAAAAGAGTAATGCAGACAATGGATGAAAATAATTATATTAAAAAATACTTGATAAGTTATTGATACATCTATTCAAACCCAACAATACTACTTCTCACTAATATTTAACACCAGGTAATAGAAACTCAATATCAAATACTTAAAATTTTAAAAAGAAAAAATAAGCCCATACTTGACTAGTTCAATGAYCCTAAACAAAACATGTTTTCATTCTGTCTGAAATAATGAAATATGTATTCATCAACATTAAACAATACGGAGGAGTAAAAATACTTTAAAAGGATTTGTAAATGTTATTTGGTAAACACTTYAAATTTCTCAGACTAAGCTTTGACAGCTATTACCCTACCAGACTTTCACACCACCCAAATAGCAGCCACAGTTTATACATTTTTACACTTCAAAACAAAATGTGGGGAACAGTTTTCAATGAGTTAACAAACAATATTAATAAATAGGTATGAGACACTGTGCACACATGRAGTTTTATAAAGATGATTCTTTCTCCACTCCTCTGCCAAACAGACTACCACCTTCCCATTTAACACATWAAGTGACAAAAATTAATGAATTATCACTGGCAGAACCATTTCTGTGGCTGACATAATTTAGTGATCTATCTTCTCTTCCTTTCCTGGTGTTTAGTAAGGTGTGAAAACTCTAACATTTTTTTTTTCATAGTTAAGACAGCTAAAGAGTCTCTTTCCTCTGGTAAGTCACCAGTTCAGTTTAAATATGTTTTTAATCTCTATACTGAATTCACTGAAATCAGGGCATACAGTAAAGAGATAAGGGGAATATACAGGGATGGATGATTGGATTTGTCTTCTTTACATAAAAAACCTGGCCAAAAACAGGGGTAGAAAAATTGGAGATACGATACAAAGCATATGGATGTCACAATTCAGGCACAGCATTTTTCCACTGTTAAGGCAACAACTTCACGAATACAAATGCCAGTTTAATTTATTGTGATTAYGCTATGTAGTTAACAAGTTTTGTGATGTAGTTAAATTTTAAAATCTCCACACTTAYTTCACTCAATTTCACAAGAATTTCATACTGCAGCTTAAGCCTAAGCTCCAGACATACTTCAATATGCACTGAGTAACTAATAAAACATAAACCAGCTGAATTAAAAATTAAAAAYAGCATTTTATATTTTACTTACACTTTGTTGATAAGTTGTTCCAAAAGTATAAGCTGCATTCARTTTAGTTTGGGTATCAGGACAAAGCTGAATAAAACATAGTTATAATTAGGTTAATTCAAAGGTATTTCTTTCTCATATGAGAAGTATTTTAGACCTTCAAGGACTCATGTATTCACAGTTATCACAAATAAAATTTTATTTTATTTTTAATAAGAGAAGGATTGATTTTGGAATAAACACAATTATTTATTGCACTAATATTGGTGTTCTTAAAATGCTGGTTTAACTTATTCGTACTTGCATAGTATTTTTCAGTTCCATCACTGAAATCTGTGGACAGCAGCATSCAAACAGGCAAGAATAATCTTTCTGTGCACTGACTGCTCAATGAACTGTGCTGCCTCAAGCTCTATTAGTGGCTTCTACTAAATTCAAGAGTCATATAACAAAAGAAGTCCACATTCATATTGCCCTTTTTCTCTTAAGCTAGCATTCTCAGAGGATCAAAGTTATAGCAAGTGAAAGATCTTTTTTCTTTTTTTAATACAACACTTCAGCGAAAACCAGCAGATTCAGCTGAATCCAGGAAAAAATGGTCCAAATTCTAATTAAATGAGGATGGCATTTAGTGGAGGGTGTAGCCTTTTTCCCAGAATGAAAATCAAGCCTAAATTTGCATAAAACGCAATTCTATTAGTGTGAAACTGAAATTGTGGGAATTGCTACAATTATGCATTGAAAGCGCTTTAGCACTGTGATGACTTATCATCATGCACAATCTATTACATTAAAAGAGGCTTTGAATGGAAAAGCTATTTCTTTCCCATTGGCTCTTGATAGCTGTGTAAAGCTTTGTCTTAGAAAATAAATGGGCCCAAAAAAACCTTCAATTCTATGTCAGAATATATAATTTTCTATGCATGTAACTATATTAGTAACCTGTAATCTCAGACACTAATTTTCCTTAAAACTGGAGATGCAGACACAAGATGGTTCATCCTGAGACAAAAACAAAATAAATCCTGAATGTCAGCTGCTCTTCTGTAGACACTGCAGCATTTGAAGTGATGTGCTCCAACAGAAAAAGGGATCAACAATTCCCAATTGTTCTTGCTGGTGTTTCTATTGTTGTCTGCCTAGGGAAATACTGAGAGTGCCTAGATCACCACTGGACTGCTAAATAAATTCTATTCTGCAACATGATGCAGCTGCCAATTGTTCTCTATGATAAGCTAATTGCTATTGAACTTTCAAATTGCTGCTTACTTGCAGTTTTCACACCCTAACTATATATGCATGGTACTGCTGAAGTAGAATGTCTGCGTCCCTGAAATCTGAGGGTGGAGTCTCCAAGGGTACTTCTGGCCAGTATTCCCCATTTCTATGTAAAGTCTCCCAGCAAGTATTTATAACTTTTTGTTACAAAAAAGACGGGCAGATGCTGGCCAAAGTCTATATTTAAAATCAAAATAAATAAGCAAGTCAAAAAGTCCCAAGAGAATGCAAAGAAAATGGGGTAGATCAGCTTTCCTACCTCCCTTGACAGTGACATAACCACTGATTTGATTGTCACCCCCATGATGTGTGCAAATAGGTGACAACATYTAACAGGGACATACTCATAGAATCATTTATAAACACATGTGGATCCAGAGCTAAAGCATACACTTTTCTCAACAGAAAAAGAGGTTTAATAAGAGACTATTAAGAGGTTTAATAAGACACATGAGCAACTATGCTGAATGGAAGAAAGAGATAGATGGTTCTAAATGACTAACACTATTTTTCAGTTTTCCAATATGCCAAATTTAAATTGGTCCAATGAAGACAGTGTTGAAGAATTTGTACTTTTGRTTTTGTAGAGATCATTGTGAGCAAGAATAAAGGGCTATTTTCCCTAACCTASCTCTACAGTTATAAACTGTTATTAGTGTAATAACCAAACTCTTGGCTTTTGTCTTAATTTGGCGAAAGGCACTTAGATTGTTCTGTTATCAAGAAAAGATAATTAAAATCAAACATACCTGTAAGATGCCTCCTTCCAAACTTTGCCATTTAAGAAAGTTTCCTGCTGCATCAAATGACGCTGCAATAAATTTCAGCTTTACATCCTGATGATGAAAAAAAGATAAAGAATGATGCAACTGACCTGAACTGGACATACACRTTTTAGAGACTCTGTCTAATCACTTGATGTTTCCTAAAACTTTCAGCACAATCCTTCATTTTTTCCCCTTTTGATTTTGTTTTCAATATGGGTTTAGTAGTTTAACTTTTTAAAGAAACACACCATTCTTCTACAGCTTCACTTGTGACACAGAAAATGTTCCAWAGGAACTTCTACAGATGTAGACATGCCCTCAATTAATCAGCAATCGATGCAAATTTCTAATATATACTATACTGGAATCTTGGGGGTTTCCAGAACATTCAGTTAAGAGGAGTAACAATTATTTTAGTTATTAAAACTACTGCTGCCTTAACATTGTTTAATTTAAAACACAGTCTTGTAGAATATGGCTAAAAAAGGCTATTATTTCATTTTTGAATTGATAAGAAAACTCCAGACAGTACAACTTACAAACAGGTTATTGCTAGAACCATTTTCTGTGATTAGCTGAACTTGAATAATCTACTCCAGTTATTCTACTTTTACAATGAAAAAGATAGTAAATCTTTTTCTTCTGTTAACTGTGCCAGTTAACAAGTTACTTAAGCAGTCCATCCCTCCCAGGGATGGATATCTGGTATCTGGCTTTGTTAACGTTAAAATTATTTTTCTCACCTCTCTTTTTTTTTTTTTCTCTAATTCACTATAGTAAGTGGGAAAAGCTGAAGTAATATATTGAATCCATCTCTGATACAATCAGCTTGTAGAGATTTGTAACAAAAATATTACAACCGGTAAAAATGAAATAGGGAGAGAAATGTATGTGTAAGCAACAGAAAGGGTTRAACACCTCTTAACAGCGATTAACTGTTCCCAGCTACAGAGCTGATAAATGGGTTGTGATAAAACCTGGCACASACAACTTGTCAGTAAAAGACCCTGCACTTTGGCACACCAGGAGGGTGGCAGTAAAGTTAGAGCACATTACRTTTACCCCTCTTTTTCCCATTAGTTCACCACAAAATATGACAAAAAGATGTATCAATTTCAAACATGTAAAAAAGATTAATGAAGATGAAAGTGAACAAGACTCTGAAACAAAGGACAGGGTCAAAACTAATTACTAGTTTACCACTGACAATCCAGATCCTTGGGGACACAATGAACACTTAAAAGCGTGCACCCTTTGTTCCTTGTGCCCTGGTCAGACCACTCAAGCAAGCACATCTTGGCCTTATGAGAATGTAGGCATCAGAGCGTAAGCAAAGGAAACGTGTGAGCAAAGAAGTGTACAGTGATCAGTAAAATCATCTCACTAGACACTATTTTACTTAAGTATCACCTTCCTCTTTGATAAAATCCCACACTGAGTTTTGTTACACCAACTGCCTAAAATTTACTTTTAGTASAGTCACATCTATAATAAATCTAAACCTTTTTAAGTGATTATGTCCTCTTCCTAATGTATGCTTCCTTTTGTCTATTACCCAACACCTACCTTATCTGTTCCCTTAAAACTGAAGGTTGTAGGAAAATTATTTTTCTCAAGCACTTGGGATGCTAATCCTGGTTGGTCACCRTAATACAGCCATGGAAGATTATGCCTCCTGAAAAAAATGACAGTGTTTTCTCTAAAGAAATACAGTATTTTTCATCAAAGAACATTTCAAATAGCGATTTCCATAAAAGGCTATTAAAGACCAAAAGTCATGGAAAAGGCAACTTACCAGTAGGGTATTGAATGAACGATGCCTACCCTTGCTGTACTGACAAAAATATACTGAAACAAACCACAAGCATCAGTACTTGAAGAACTCAATGAGTTCATATTCATCACACACATATTTCCAAGAGCTTGGCATGCTGTTAAATTAGAGTACAACTGCAGTGGAGAAACACAAGAACACAGAAAAAATTATTTAATTACCCCTCCTTTTGGTGAGGCAATCATAAAATTAATGTTATTTTTAAGAAGCCACTCCTAAGCCCTTGTTTTTACTTGGAAGTAATTTCATTTTGTCAACACCGAGTATTTTGTCTCAGGTATTGAGGTACTATATTTTTATAGATCTACAGATGACAGTATGAAATCAATACTCTACTTTTTCAGCTTCTTTTAGTTGCACCAGCTAGATGGTATGAAATGACAGAAATGCCAAAATCTGCACTTAGAAAACAAAGTAAGAATCAAAATGTTTAATACCACTTAGGCTGTAGGGCAAAGATGACTCCATCGAAGACCTCAGACTGACAACTACAAATGCATGTAGCGTAAATACCTTCCCTTCAATTTTAGTACTTCTTCTATTCTGCTCTTCCCAAACTATGTTGTATTTGTRACTTATTCAATTCTGGTAAACAAACCAGTGCCAAGTGATATAAGGAGGTGACACCTGCCATCTGTGTGCAGGGGGTCACTGTATTGGTATTAACCTGCCACCTCCTCACTCTCATTTGTGTGTCAGACCAGCAGCTGCTCATTATATTCAGGCAGCACCTCAGAATCCCTGAGCAGGGTGAGGCAGACAGGATAAACTGAGGTCAGTGAAAAAGAACAGGAACAGTRGGAGAATACATCTCAGAGCTGTGTATATGAGATGGTGATGGAAGCAGCCACAAAAGTGATCTGGGAAAATTCTGTACAGAAGTCTGCTGAAACACTGACTGAGACAACACCTGCCAGTCTGGAAACAAGGCTTGGGAATTGAAATATCCTGAGAAAGTGAATATCCTTGAAATATCCTTGAGAAGTGCAGCTGGGTATCTGAATTTCAGAGACCTCTTGAGATAACATCAATAAGCACAAACCCAAGGAAATGTAACAGCAACCTATGATCTGGAAAGGGGAAAGAGTCTAGCAGAAGGAAAGCATTCCAAAAGAGTAGGAATAGGCAACTGCTATTGAYTATTGTACATGAGAGTAGAAAAACAGTCTGGAAAAAACACAAATTAGCCTGAGAGAATATAAAACACTGTATAATCTATTGGCTGCTCCAGGTGGGTTATCCTACGCCACCTTATGTCTCTCTGATATAGAAATGGAAAGTGAATCTGCCCCTGTCGTCTCTCTCTCTCTCTAACACGTACAGGACGCCCCCTACACAAACTTTTCTAAGCGCTGCTCTAGACAAGTTATCAGACTGTGGTTAGGGGTGGCTGACTGACTCCAGATTCTGCAATTCCAGTCATCTTTGAAGAGAAACTTCATCTGTCATCAATTTTGAGGCCCCACTCCTGGGAGTGGTTTATTGAGTATTGGACTGGTACTATTGGGAATGATATACACACCTATGGGTAATTGTAAGTGCATTTGCTGCTTTTTTTTATCATTTCGTAGCAACTTGTAATACTGAAATGTATGCCTGCTGCTACTATGGACTGCTGCCACCACTGGAATACATATATACTTGCTTTACTGATCATAACTATACTCATTTTACAAGTAATAATTTGTAGTAATCTCTAATGAAGAAATGTTGGAAATAACGACTCTGTGTGCTTGTGTATTGCAGAATTCTGAAAATCTATATTGTGAACTGTAGAGACTTCTAGGCTAGGTAACCCTTTGCATTGTGACAGAYAGGGACAAAAAGTAGAACCTGAGAAGTTAAAATCTAATCTTCAGGAGAGCAAGACAGAAGGAAAATGAGCATGTGTGATAACAGAGTTGGTAAAAAGGAGACACACGCCCTTCACAAGTGTCTGTGATTCTGTGGCTGCAGCCACTCTTTCACCCATGGTTACTGTTACCCAGAGCAACATAATGGTAAATAACACTGCATACATAAAGCAAAGCAAAACTAAAAAGGGTAGTTCAATGGCTATGAATAACTGAAAATCAAGTAAGAGCTAAAGAGCAGGTGCCAGTAAATACTGAATATGAGAGAAGTTAATTTTCTGAGTGATCCCTTACTAGATATGCTCATTAATATCTATATGTATGGGTATACTACCGGGTAGTAGGTCACACACCACTAAATATTGAATGATTTTTTTTTTTTTTAACACCATTCACCTGGTGAAAATTCCAACCCTGTAGACTTGCATTAACATTGACTAACCCTCAATATTTCTAAGTATTCTGTATATATAATTCTCTATTCTCATCTCAAAATAAAATTCTTTAAAAATGAGCAAGGTAACTTCCAAAAATAAAATTGACATGCTTTTATAAAGTATCACTTCTATACAAAAAAAAAGCAAACTGCAAATAATAATGAAACTCACCCAACAGGCAGAGGCTGAGGACTGCAGATTTTTCAGAAACCATGCTGATGATAGTGTTATACCCTGTAAATAAAGAACTTTTTCACTGTCTTTGCTCACAACAATTCACCGACAATGTAACAGTCTGGAAAACTAAAAGTCAGCTAAAAGATGCTACTCATTTTTTTTCTAAGAGCTTTCTATCCTTTGTAAACATCTCAATCAAGCAGTATCAGTTCAAAACACAACGATAACCCAATAATTTCTTTCACTTCACTAAATTAGACAAAATATACAGACAAGAGCTGAAGTATTTAAACTTTGCATATAGATTCTGTAACACAGAAGTTGTCTTTACTGAACAAGGGAAGTACTAACTATTTCAAAGTTAAGATGTTGACTTGATCGTAAATCTAGCTCAGGATCAAATTTGCCAAATTAATTAATTCAGCTCCTTTTTACAATTACTCTCATTTGAACTAGCTCCTTTTTACAATTACTCTCATTTGAACTACACATAACATTCATACATACTCTAAGTGACTGAAAAGACATATTTTCAATGAAGTATTATTTAGAAGGTGGCATTTTCAGGAAGCAAACCRATGTTTGATATTGGAAAAAATGAAGACTGCTTTTTACTTTCTTTCAAGCAGTAGCTTTTAACATTAATTCATTTAAAAACAAAATACATTTCTTAGTCACACAGCATTTCTTGAATTCAGAACTACTTGGAAAACGGTCCTAACTTTGAGCAGATTTCACAACTAATGAAAGTTCATTAGATAAAACAATGAAACCCCCTTCATTCTTCTCAACAGAACATATTTTCATTCATTAGCCAATTCAGAGTTCAGCAACTTCACACACAATCTCAAACTTTAGAGGTGCCCATTTTCTTCTGTAAGCTCTAAGATCAAGCAGTAAACAAAACCCTTAAATCTTCTTTTAAGAATTAACACAAACCAATTTTATGTAGTAAAAAAGACCAGAGACACTCAGGGACTCTTCAGTATGTTTTTGTGATACAAGAGTATGCTTTAAATGCACACAATTAATGCAAAAGGCCACATGCTACTTGTTTTGATACTAAAAGTCATAAATTACATCCCTTTTGCAGCTTCCAATAGGGGCATGAATTTTTAAAGGCTTATTCCATTAGAACAATGGTTGTTCGGAGTCCATATCTACACTATCTTGATGCAAATGACCTTACAATCACTGTGATCACACAACAAAGTACCMCCTTTGTTTTCCAGGAATGGGAATGCAAAATACTTACTGGAAGTAAGTAATGAGAAAGCTTAAAAGTGTTTTAGAAAAAAACCCACTTACTAGCTGTGCAAAACGAACAGTTGCAACTCCCTTTGGGGGTAGGCCTTCTTGAGCCAAGAAACACAATCCCCCAGTCTGAAAGAAATAAAAGAATAAAAAAAACGGGTATTGATATACTTGTCAAAATAACTTTTCTTTTTCGGAATTTCAGTACAATTATCATTCTTCTACTTACTAGAATGTTTGGGTTGCTGCAGTCACAAGATTTGCTCACTTGGATGAATGTTTTTTCACATCTTATGCACCTATGAATGACAAATATAAAGAATGCACTTAAAATGTGGCTAAGTATGAAATTTAGTACTCAGTGAAAACTGATTTCATAGCATGCTGGGAATCAGTGTCAGCAATTTCACTAGTTTGAAGTGAAATTTAGAAGTTATTACCAATTTGTTTCTACTGTCAGTGAAGTCAAGAAATCAAGAAATCTAATAATTAATTATCAAAAAAAAGAATTCTGTTCTGCCTCCAATCCAAAGCCTGTTTTTTAGTCACACTAATGCAAGACAAAAAAAAAACAAGCTTTGGTCATGTAAGGACTTSAGTGAGCACAAAACACACTGGGTTTGATACAGGTTTAGGATTTCCCATTCCCTGCCTTCAGAAATGCCATCTCAAAGATACAGTCTGTTTATCAGAAATATTCCATTCAAATGTAGCATGGCATGTTCAAATTTATCATCACAAAAGGCAAAGAACACCCACCKACTTCCTGATGCATCTGAAGCCGAGAATGACTGCTCACTTCCATTACAGTGTATGCACAGTGCTTCATTAAGCAAAATGCCATCCATGCTTCTTTCCACTAAGTATGAAAAAAAAGCAACTGTGATAAAAATGCCTGATACAAAGTGTCACGTGGGTTAAGAAAAGTGTGAAAAAATAAAGCATCTGGGCAGACCTAAAATAAATTCAAGGGCTAATTTTGAAAAAATTAAGGGCACAACTTGCAAATAATATCCACTATAAATGCACATTCATGTATGTTTGTGTTCATTGTTTCTAGCTGCGCACACATGAATTTTAGTTTTAACGAGAAATGCAACATTTCACGTCTAGCTTGGCTGTTCCTCTGTTACTTATTCTGAATCAAATTCCAAACAAAGGCCTCACTGTAAAGCAAATATTCAAAACATCAAGTTTGCAAATTACTGGGAAAAAAAAATAAATTTCATCTGAAATGATGATTGGAAAAGTCACAATTTCCAAGTTYCAAAACTGCATCTTCCACCAAYTAAATCATCTGGCAAGAGATTTCARMTCTARTTATTAAAAAGAAAATCCAAACCAGATAATTGAATAATTACAATACTAATGTTCTTCCTGACAAATTATGGAATCGACTTTGCTTTTAATATTTTACCATAAAGGCTTGGAATGTATTTTGTAACTGTCATAAAGTTTAAGGAARAAGATTGGTATTCACTGTTTTCCAGATTCCTAGGAAAATTTAAAATTATTGATCTGGAAAATAGTGATTCTCCAGTATACTCTATCGGAAATGTAACCGAAGTGGACATTTATAATACCTATTCAAAGAATTATAGGCATTCCATGTCTTTGAATATAAGGAAAACGAAAGGCCCCAAGAGCTTTTATATTTTACACCATTGAAGAAAATTGTACTTTGCTCTTACGTTTTTTACTATGCAAAATAAGCAGAAATCCATTTAGCACAAACATTAAAATTTAGCATTATTTTTCTGTCTASTGAAACTACTAGAGAGCATCAGGTAAGAAGCACATCTCAGAAAGTCACAGGTACAGATGTCTCAGGGAAGCGTGAAGTCCATTGACACCAATGCACAGCTCTGTGGCTTGGTTTGCCCAGGCTATTCTCTTCCACCTACTCATGTAGGTATAATTCCTTTTTATTTATAATTCCTTTACTGCTTTTTATACTTCAAAACATTGTAATGTTTTTTTATAGTCTATATTGACATTGGGTTTATTTCAATTTTAATGACTGCATCCATTGCCAAGGATCTTAAAAGAAGGGATACACCAGTATTTATTTACAGAATGTTTGCATAACAATTTTTATTGCAATGAGCAATGGTACAGATTTATCTGCTGTCCTTCAGAAATGACAATTGAAATCAAGAAGAATGTTGAACGTTTATATTAGATATGTAAACATATGTAAATTTTTTTTCGTATTTAACAGAAGAGCATATTGTAGTAAACTCAAATATGTAAAACAAGTGCTATCATCTCATAATTGGCATTTTTTTTACCTAGTATTTCGTTATTGGGGCATTTACAATTTCCATTTGGAGTCAGGCCTTTGGGGCAAGCAATACAATTCCACCCATCTTGAGTAACTCCACTCTAAAATAAAACGTAAAACTATTAGAATTTTCAAAAATATAGACATCACCCAGTATCTGTGAAGAATGCCTTATCCAGCCATTAGTTACCAGAAAATGTGTTCTGACAAAACACTGATAACATTCATGAAGTTTTTAAAGAGAAAAAAAAGCAAAACAATCTGACAAAAGTAATTCCTATGCAGAGAGAGATCAAAAAAAATGTTAAGCTCTCCTGAACCTGTTAGCTCACACCCTTCAGTGAAAATTAAAAGTAGAATGTTTAAAAAGAGAAACAGAGGTCCTACACTGGATAAACATAATAATGCATAAATAGATGACTGCATAGAAATATACAGAAATGGAAATGGAGTTCTAAGTGAAGCAGTTTATGTAACTGCTTGGAATTGTGTACCTACCACACAGGTCACATCCACACTTATTTTATACTGTAACTGCACTACAGATAAAAAGCACTGAGGAAAATGAAGATAACTGCTCATCCTCAAGTGCTACTGATTGGAAGTTACTCCCTTCTCCACTATCATCATTTCATCTTTGCAAAAGCCTCGGCAGTAGATCAGAGGCAAATAYCACCAACTGCAGGAGAAATACAGAAACAGCAAATGATCACAATACAACAGRATATGTGCCAAAGTCTTTGTCTAACACAGCAAGGAGATGGAGAGAGAAATTACCTGCATTTCCCGTTAGCCCATGAACACCTAACTCAGGCAACTAAGCTGRTCTCCTGAGAGCTCTATAGTTACTGAAGGGAAAGAAGTATTCAGGAAGACCTCACCCTCAAAAGTTGATTTGCTAGAAAAACATTTCTTTATTTACTATAGTGGGAAAAAGCCAGTTAAGCCTGGTGTTTCTGGCTCAGTGCTGCGAATACGACACAAAATTGAAACTTAAATTGTCAAAGAAGGTAAAAATAACTGCCCAAATGTTAAAGATAATTATAATTAAAGCAAGATGAGGAGCAGCTCATTTTGAAGAAGATGAAGTATCAAGGACTAKGAAGATCCAGCCTAAATATTACAATAAGAGGATTTATATAAATAATCAATTAAGATACCTATGAGCTGAAAAGTATCTTTAACATTCTGTAGAGTTGTGGTCTCTGGGAAAGGATGAAGCAAAGCAGCAAAACAGTGGAAGGAATTTTAAACAATTCTTATTTTGTCTGTGGGGTCAAATTTGTAATAAAAAAATGCCTCCAAACAATAGTAATAAACACTTCCAAATTGAAGAAAATGCTACCTACAAGCACAGTCTTAAAAACTGTCAAGCAAAGGCTATTACGCAAAAATACTTTAAATTAATGAAAAATAACTTGCAGTCAGGATGGAATTTAAAATTAGAAAAAAACACAATGATCATGATTACTATTATGTCATTATGGCAAAACATGAAAAGTTCAACACTTACCATATTTTCTGGGCATTTTTCACAACTAACAGAGAACCCATCATTATTAGAAACCATCCTGTATCCTGGCTCACATACACAGGAACTACCTGAAGAAAACAAAACAAATGCACTTTTAATCTATATAAAACGGAGTGGTTGTAACAGGATACGAAGATCAACTGCTGTTGTTCTCAAGAGAGCAAGACGGATTGGATAGACACAAAAAACATTTGAGTGACATGTGCATGAAAATCATCTTGCTTTTTAAAAAAGGCCCATGTTACAGTTTGCACACAGATGTTTTAGGAAATTGTTACAAGGCTGACTGAYCTACCAGGGTGGAATGGGGACCCAGAGCTTGTTTTGTGTTTTTTTTTTCTTCAAACCAAACTTTACCACTTGGTCTATAATAGATACATCTAAATCCATCTGAATCTTGTCACAGCCTATCCTCTCTAAACACCAGCATTATATATTTGTATAGTTTTTATGTTTTGAATATGAAGTCAGTCCTAAAACCAAAATGTGTTCCTATGCAAAGGGTTTTCAAAATACAACTTATGAAAAGCTGTTTTGAACTCAAAGCRTTAAAAATTGTACATGGGGATCAAGCTTTATAATGAATGGTTTTCAGTGAGAGAACAGAACATAACATTATGGGTGAAATTAAACACTACTTTCATGGCACATCATAGTGCCCATTAGCTAGTGCTCAACAACTTTCTTTTTTAGGAACTTTCCCAATCTCACTTTCATGAACTTCTCTCCCTAYTTTCAAACACATTCTACAAACAGAAACTGATTATATGTATGAATAAACTCCTTTTATTACTTAAGCTTATTAAACTGTGCAGGTAAAAGTAATGTAAAATTCTATGAAAAATTTTATAACCCTAGAATACATTCTAATGGGATCAGCTGTACAGAAACATTTGTCAAAGTGATCAGCCACTTATACTTAATTCTAAAGAAGAAAAAGCCCAATTAGATTAGATCAATGAAAAGGTTTGAGTTGTGACATTCAGAGTGAAAATACCTAGATTTTTAGGCATGTCTTGAAAGCAGAATCCACAGTGAGGAGCTAGTCAGGGAGTGTATGGGCAACTGCAAGTGGAATTCAGTCAAGATAAAAACAGCACTGAGTGACACCTAGCTACTCTGTTCCAGTCAGATGCTGCACGAAAAAAAAAAAGAAAAACCTTGACCTGTCCTTGGAATTTCTCTCTCCTAGAAGCCCTTGATTTAGAGGAAGATTCAACCTAAAAGGGAGTTATGGATCTAGACACCCATATTATCAAGGGATCTGAAAATAAATACAGCATTTTTTTTTGTAAGTGAACTATGGGATTAATCTTTAGGGTACCATGGTGGCAGTGGAAAAGGTGACCAGCTTGTATACAGCAGTTGTGAATACAGCCATCCACATCACTGCTTCTGACTGAGGTAACAGTTCTGAAAAGAGAAAAGGGTCTTAGTCTCAAATTTGTCTCTGAACACAAAACAGGGAACTACCACCTTTGTTGGACTGTGCATTTATAAAAGATGGACTCTTTAATACCTYCTTATGCCCTAAAGAAAGAGACCARCTATCTGTATTTGCCATTTAGTAYWGTCAAGGTGTGYTGTATCTGCTCCAAGTTCCTGTGTGGGACTTGCACTAGCATGGGCACAGCGTGAGGACCTCAGACATTTACTGTCTCAGACCTTCACGTTTTGACAAGGAGTTTCAAGTTATAGAAGYGTTTGAGAACATAAACTCAGGGTCCTGTGGAATCTTACAGATGATGACGCAAACACCTGTAATGCTGGAGGAAAGATTATTATAGAAGATGTACAGTCATTTCTCTAAGCCGAATCTCAGACACATCACAGCTGCGCTGGAGCCTTTTAGGTCTCTGTGGGATCCTGGCCCTTTCGCGGCTTTGCCAGACCTGACCCTGCGGGCTGCTGTTTTACCGCCACAGCCGGAGCCCCGTCTGTGCATGTCCCGCTGCTGAGGGCGGATTCAGCGCGGAGCTGCCCGAGCCCCGCCTGCCCCGAGGCCGCGCCACCTCCCCATCGCTCACCGCCGGCGCTCTGCCGCTGGTGAGCCCCGCAGGGCGCGCAGGCCAGGCGGGAGCTGTCGAAGTAGCGGTCGGCGCCGCAGTCAGCGGGGCGCTGGAGCGGGACGGAGAAGCCGCGGACGGGAGGCAGCGCCGCCCACAGCACCGCGAGCAGCGCGGCGGCAGCAGCCCCATGTCCCCGCGTCGCCATGGCCACCGCGCACCCCGCCGCGCGCCCATTGGGCACAGCCGCGCGCTACGGCGAGCGCAGGGGGCCCGCTGCCGCAAGAGGCGAAGCGTCCGCGGGGCGGGCCGGGGTCGCAAACCGAGTTTATTTATTTGGTCTATAGAAGATTTTCTTTTGTCATGTGCGAGATCAGGAGCAAGAAATGAGAGAACACCGAGGCCCGGTTTACTCTTTCCGGTGCCCCGTCTCTAGACCTGGTGCGCAGTATATCAAACACCTAWCACGTGTTTGTAATTTCTCCTCAGAGAGGAAAGTGGTAGCAGGGTGAAAACACAAAATGTGTGGAGCAATGAATGCACAGCCAAAGTTACTCCTCTTTACCTTCTACACCTTTGTCAGCACACTCTTGTTCACATTCCACAGAATCACAGAATGGCTCAGATTGGAACAGACCATAGCTGGTCATCTGGTCCAACTTCCCTGCTCAAGCAGGGTCATCCCAGAGAACATGGCAGAGGATTGTGACACAGAGTTCTTGAATATATCCAGTGAGGGAGACTTCACAACCTCTCTGGGCAAYCTGTTCCAGTGCAGCTGCACAGCAAAGTTCTTCGTGCTCAAGTGGAACTTTCTGTGCATGTTTCTGACTGTTGCCTTATGTCCCATGCCTTCAAATGTTACCAAAACTTCGCAGGGCACTGTGTCCTGGATTTTAATCGTTCCTCAGTCCCCCTCCTGCATGCTAATTGCCTATTATGATTTTCGACATTAGCATGCTTTATTTGTCACTGGATTTGTTTTGCTGGCTTAACAAGTGTRTAAAGGTTTAGTTGATGTCTTCAAGTCGAATTATCTGTCCCCAAGCTCAAGTTTATGTCAATTTGACTGTGTAAAGATATAACTTTTTAACCACCTGGTGTGCTTGATTTGTGGAAACCTCCACCTTGTACCCTACCCAGAATAAACCATGTCTCCTTTCTAAACAAGACTCTGTGTCTGTGTTGAGAGCTCCTAAAATCGGTATTACTGCTAGGTGAATCTACCATAAATACTACAGGTTTTTTTTTTTTTCTATGTAAAATGGAGCAGAAAAGTACTGAATATGCATAGACAGGATATAACATGTAAAGATAGGGAAAGGCAGGTAGGATAAACATTAAGATAAAATACCTCGCTTGCACGAGGTACTCTGCCTCTGCTCTTCCCYTTACTCAACCTTGAACCTTTCCTTCTCGTGTTTCATTCCTCCATCCCTGCCTGCCTTTCCTCTCAAACCCARGCTGGAGCCAGCCCCGAGCTGGGTTAGAAATGGTGTCTGCAGGTACTGAAGAGCAGCGGTGAGAGCAAACCCGCCCGGTGGAGCCTGAGGCACGAACGGAATGAGCCTGAGGACTGCACAGCACGGCAGGCGGCCCATCCCTCTGTACAGATGGAGCATCACACAGGTCTCTCACTATTCAAAGCTATAATCATACACGTCTGCTATTATACAGCTCCAGGGGATCTCCTCACACACGGACCGCACACAGCCCTCCAGTGCCACAGCGCATGCGCACAACCTGCCACACAGTCCCCGCCCGCGCGCCGCTCCGCGCACGTGCGGCTGCGGCGGAGGGGGCGGGGTCACAGGGCCCCGGCGCTTCTCGCCCCGCCCCGAGGGTGCGCGCGCAGCCCCGCTCTCGCGGGCCGGAAGCGCTCGCGCGGCGCAGCTTCCCCTCAGCGTTGGGGGGGCAGTGGAGGCGGCGCCATCTTGGCGGAGCCGTGCCGGGAGCTGCGGGGCTCGTCCGAGCGGCGTGTCCGGTGGGTGTGTGGATGGATGGCGTGAGGGACAGAGCACGTCTCCCCGGGGTGCGGCGTGTGGCCGAGGGCGGTGCGGAGTTTGCTCCGGGAACCCGTTCTCGGCTGCCCGACCCTCGCGGAACCGCTGCGCGGCCGCTGCCCGGCCACCGGCTTCCTCATGTCCCTGGGCTTCCCACCCCCCTTTCCCGCTCCCGGTGCCTCCCTCAGCTCTGTCCCGCTGCTGGGAGGCAAGCGGCCTTTTCCGTGGGGCCGAAGCACTGGCGGCTTTAGCGGGGCGAAGCGCGTGTGGCGCGGGGCGGCCTCTCTTCGCCCTSTTCCTCTCGTCCGTTCCCTGCCCGGCCGGCCGCGGCGGGGCCCTCCAGCAGTGCTGGTGCCGGCGGGGCAACTTGCTCGGAAGTGGTTCCGTGCTACATTCGACCGTGTAGCGGGCCYAGCTGCAGAGCTCATTCACGTCTTCCTGCAGCACTGTGAAAACTGCTGTTAGCAGCAGCCTGCTTCCACTATTAAGGCTCATTTTGAAGAATAGAATAAGAAACCTTCCCTTATCCAGTGGTTATTCTACATTGGTCCAGTTTTGTAGCGAGGTGTTTCTGTGGGTGTTCTTTCTAGCTTGCATACAGTCTGTSTAATCTTTCAGTGTTACAAAATATTAGTGTAATGCAGGCTTTGTTTCTTACAGTGCTTACAAATTCTGGTTTATTTTAATGGTTTTAATAATATTTGGAATTTCCCGAGGCTGTGGAAGGATAGGTATTATACTGTTTTTTAGCCGATTTTGCTCATATATAAAATTTCGTAAAACTCTGTACACCTCTGTGGTTTTAAGTTGGTGGCATGAAGTTGTCAATCTATTTATTCTTCAAATCCTTGCTCTCTGAAGTCCTTGTTAATGAATTGCTCTTACTTTTCATGGCAAGTCAACACTTTTTGGTCATGTGCTTTAAATTGTTGGATGGCTTGTCTATGCTTTTTACCCATGCTTGATTGTTTACCAAAGAGTAAGAGCTTATTATTTGAACTTGCATTTCTGTTAGTGGACTTCTTAGAGATCAYATTATGATCTGGAATCACTGTGTCTGGTTTTCACCACTGAAGGCTGTGTATTGTATCCCTGGTGCATCGTGGAGAACTTGCTGTTTATCACTGAAGAATTATGGAGGAGAGCTGTTGTGGATGATGCTTAAAAATCGGGATAAGAAAGCGGAATTGTGAAACCCAGAATTACTACAAATTAAATACAACACAAAGTAGCAGGGCAGTGGATTTGCTTTTTTCAAGACAAGAAGGTGCTGTATGAAAAATCTGGCCTTGAATTCTCCATGCTTTTTGGCACTGCTGTTGCATCTGTTGAGAAGACACGTTGCAAAGTGGTTCTGGGTCTGGCTGGGATGGAGTTAACGTTCTTCACAGCATCCCGTACAGTTCAGTATTTTGGATTTGTGGCTAAAGGAATCTTGACAACACATCGGTGTTTTGGCTGTGGCTGGACAGCACTTGCACAGTATCAAGGCTTTATCTATTTTCCCTACTCTGTTCCTCCCGTGAGTGTGCTCAGAGTAGGTGAGAAGCTGGGAGGGAACATGGCTGGGACAGCTGACCCAAACTCACCAAAGGGATATTCTGTGCCATGTAACATCGTGCTCGGCAACAAAAACTGAGGTAGAGGAAGAAGTATTTTGTTTGATGGTTTTGGTTTCTTTGGGGATTTTTTCTTGGCTCCCAAAGCAGATTTTTGGAGGAAGGCTGGAYTTGAGCCTGTGGGAGGTGGTGAGTGATTTCCTTTGTTTTGCATTTTTCTCTTCACTGATGAAGCTGTCTTTATCTTGACCCACAAGCTTTTTCGACTTTGTTCTTTCCCATCCTGCTGATGGGGATGAGGAGTGAACAATTGGCTGAGTGGGTGCTTGGCTGCTGGCTGGGGTCAACTCCCCACAAAAGTACAGAGAACAGATGGTCTTTAGTGAAGTATCTAAATAGGCGGTTGTTTTCGGTTTGCATTGCTTTCAGAGTACTGGTGCAGAARTGAGATGGAATCTATTAGTGGCAGAATTTGGGTTTTGCTCTTGTTATGCTAAGTAAAGATGGAGTGGCAGTTAGGGTTAATGATAGATAACCTGTCATCAGGATCTGGTGCTTTGTAGAGCAAGGTTTGTAGAAGGGATGTTCTCAAAAGCTTAGAATGTTGGGCTGTTGCTTTATTTTAAAGAGAGGCAGTAATTTGCTACAGAGGCTTGTTTGTTCTGGGAATATGGTGCTATTTATTGTGTGATGTTAGAAAATGTTGAAATGCAGGGTATGTTTAAGTCATTGTATTGTTCTTTTGTTTGAATGGCAATATGATAAGGATATAGGGAAAATACAGAAGCTGGCTTTGTAAATTCAGGTGCTTTCTGAAGTTTCTCCTTGTTGGATATTTTTGCTCTTTCATTTGATGGTCTTCACTGTGTACTTTAAGTGCAGTGCTGGACTGGTGAGTAGCAAAATCTTGTGAACTTTGAAACCAGGTGGATTTCAGAAGAATGGACACGTTCTGCAATCCTGAGATGGACTTAAACATCTTTCAAGAACTCAATTGAGAATTGTTCCCTCGATACATTGTCAGTCTGTTTCATTGCAACAGTTCAGTGTGGCACAATTGATGACCAAGTAATCTCATCATATTTTCATCGTTTTCAGAAGTGAACTTAAATTTTGGATTTCTTTCGCTCCTAAAATGGAAACACAAAAGATGCAGTGCATGGCATCTTGGATTGTGGAAGGAGTTCTTCAAATGGGTTCATAACATGCTTGGCTTTAGTATTAGCCACTGCTATGGATGAGCTGCAGCAGTGTAGCACAGTGTGTAAAGCAAAGTAGAGGTATCAGCAATTAATTATGTTTCGTTTTCTTTCCACAGTTAAGTTGATTTTACAGAATTTATCAGGTCTCCAAAGCAGAAACAGGTAAGCTGCCAAAAGCTTAACACTTCTCAGTGAGTATTGTGACAAGATCATACACAGCCTTTTTTCCTCACAGACTTGTGGCTGGCAACTAGGATATGCTCTCCTGAGTGCTTGTGGCCGCTGCACTTAATACTCTGACTGCATCAAAGAGACAACATTTTTGAATGCTGAGAAAGCATACATTATTGAACAGAACTGATCACTTGGTAGAGCAACCTATCAAAGCAATAAAAGTCATCACTGTTTGTGAATTACTTCATATTCCAGTGACATAGTTATTATTCTCCCTTTCTCCTTTTATCAACTAGTGTCCTRTTCAAAAGTAAACCGGATTTTTTTTGTTCCTTAGGACTGGGCAGAGATCTCTGGCATGTAGTAACTATGCTGTGAAAGATGTGAGGTGTTCTTTAGGTTTTGCGGATGGTGAGGAGTGACTTAGATGGATTTTGTTGTCCTTAGGATAGGGAATATTGATAGATTTGTGCATGTGTGCCGGTGGACTAGCTAATTGTTCTGACCAATCAACATTCAGTGAATTGTTTTAATCTTGTTTTTGTGAACTTGTGGGTTTTTTCATACCTCTCTTGATTGAGACAAGGGCATTCATTAAAAAGGCTCTAGCTTCTTAAGTGATAAGATACTGTAATAGCTGAGTACTAAAGACGTGCTATCATGTGTACCTTTTTGTCTGCAGGTGATTTTTGCTGTGGGTTGAGCTCAGCATGGCTGTAGTCATCCGTTTACAGGGGCTTCCTGTTGTTGCGGGTCCTCCAGATATTCGTCGTTTCTTCTTGGGATTGAATATTCCTGATGGAGGTGTGCATATTATTGGAGGAGAGATTGGGGAGGCTTTTATTATATTTGCAACAGATGAAGATGCACGGCGTGCCATGAGCTGTTCGGGAGGGTTTATCAAGGACTCGCGGATAGAGCTCTTTCTCAGCAGCAAGGCAGAGATGCAGAATACCATTGAAATGAGCCGGAAACGATTTGACCGTGGGGGACGAGAAACTATGTCTGGCTCTAGAAGAACAGGTACTAATGGTTCTGGTACATCAAGTATTGGAGACATACCACATTTAGTTACAGTTTCTCCAAAAGGAATAAGAAAACCTAATTATGGGCCACCAAATCGCCTGGAGGCTGGTTTCCATACCAAYGGCACAAGACATGGTGATATGGGTATAGCCAAATCTTACCAGTTAAGAAAGGATTCTCACCCATTTAACCCAGATGATCGTTACTTATTTCTACGTGGTATACCTTACTCTGCAACAGAAGTTGAAGTCCGTGCTTTCCTTTCGGGGATACGCGTGGATGGAGTGATTCTGATAAAGCACCGCAATGGTTTAAACAATGGTGATTGCTTGGTAAAATGTGCTACACCTGGTGATGCCTTAGAAGGACTTAAACGTCATAGACAATACATGGGTCAGAGATTTATAGAAATTAGTCCAACTACAGAGGAACGGTGGATTGAATGTGGTGGGAGGATAGACATACCAGATGAAATGGATCACTTTTTGGGCGAAAACCATTCTCCAAGAAGTTCAGGCTACATGCATTCAAGGAAGCATTCTCGTTCAAGATCACCAAGGAGACAAAGAACACATTCTCGTTCATCTCCCAACCAGGAATATTACATACACTTAAGAAATTTGTCTTTTAATGTGGAGAAGAGAGATTTGAGAGATTTTTTTCCTGATCTGGATATACACAGCAAACAGATCAAGATTCTAACAGATAAGCATCAGAAAAGGACTAGAGATGCCTTTGTGGTGTTAAGGAGTGAGAGAGAATATCAGGCTGCTTTGGAATGTCATAGAAAGGTTCTTCTCAATCGTCCTGTTTACGTTTTTCCAATTTCAAGAAAGTCAATGTTGAAAATAATTGACTCTTGTGAGAGGAAAAGATCACTGGACAGGGATCATCTTGGACAGGCCATATCAGAAAAAAGTTACCGGGAAGGTCATTGCAGCCCTAAGACGTGTGTTTATGTAAGGAATTTTCCATTTGATGTGTCAAAAATTGAAGTGCAGAAGTTCTTTGCAAGATTTGATATTGATGAAGATGATATTTACTTGCTCTATGATGAAAAAGGAGTTGGACTGGGAGAAGCACTAGTCAAGTTTAAATCTGAAGAACAAGCCATGAAAGCAGAAAATTTAAATCGTCAGACATTTTTGGGAACAGAAGTATTAATAAGACTTATATCTCAGGACCAGATGCAGAAGTTTGGTGTACCTGCACCATTATCTGCACCAAATGAAATGCACAGTCATTCACATCCATATGACAGAGGTGACCTCTCYCGTCCAGTTGGTTCACCATCTGGGCCACCACAAGGGCCACCCATGCATTCATTTGGTCCCCCTGGGAACTTTAGGCATCATTCTGAATTTAGACATCCCCCTGAGGACTTCATGTGCCCTCCTAAGGATTTTAGGGGTCCACCACCCCTCATGGATTTTGGTGGTGACAGTGAACCTTTTGGCAGAATGGAGTTTGGGAATAATAAAATGGGAAATTTTCCTGAAGGAAGATTTATGCCAGAGCCGAATTTCAGTGGTGGTTCTGAACGTGTTGTTCCTATTCTGTTGAAAAATTTACCTTTCAAAGCTACTCCTAATGAGATTCTGGATTTTTTCTATGGCTACAGAGTGATACCAGAATCAGTTTCTGTGCAGTACAATGAACAAGGATTACCTTCTGGTGATGCCATCGTTGCTATGACAAACTATGAGGAAGCTATGGCTGCTATTAATGAACTGAATGATAGGCCCATTGGTCCACGGAAAGTTAAGTTGAGTTTGCTGTAAAGGAGGAAGAGATGCTCTAATAACACATTCTAGGTTTGACAGTATTGACAGTTAATTTAACTTTTAATTCCTGGAAGATGTTAAAAAAACAGTTTCCATCAACGGTTGTAAATAATACTCAGTTCAGTTGTTTAGCATTTGGTTGAAATATCTGTAGGACACTGAATGTCCTACAAGGTATAAAGGGATRGAGTTGTAATGCTTTGGGTTTGTTTTTTTTTGTTTTGTTTTTTTTTTAGTTTGTTTTAATTCCAGTTTTATGTCTTTGCATCAAATAAAAATATAAGTGCTGGTTGACTGACCACACAAACGGTTCAAACAGAAAATTTTCAGTGCTACCTGCATTAGTAAATAACACTTCTTACTGAGGTTAGCTTAATGAAACTTAAAAAAATTACTGATTTTTTTTTTGTTTGTTTTCATGTAAACTCTACAGGTTTTATTCGGTTTCATGTGTTTGCAGGCATTCCTGTTRAAGAGCTTCCTGTTCTCATTAGCTGGCTTTGCAACTTTTTTAAAATAAAAAAAGAAATTGCCGTTTAAATGTGTGTCTTATATTTAAAAGTTGTACAGTTAATGATCTCAACTATTGTGGTCTGCAGATCTGGGTCTAGGTGAGAATAATGCTGAGTGCTTCCTCTGGAAAGAGTGTATKTGCAGTTTGTCAACACAGCAAAGAATAGCTAGTTTACAGATTGCAGAGACTATTCTCAGTTAGGCTTCTTTCTCACTCACTGTAGTACCTTGAGGCACAAAATGAATGTTGGAATTAGATCAAGAATTCTGACTTCAGTGGTCTTTGTTTTATCTCCACATGCTGCATAATATGAATACTAACTTGTTAATGATGTCTGGATGCATTCCAGGTCAATCTCTGATTAATTATAACCAACATCTGTCACTGACAACCAAGCTGACAACAAACTATGTTATTTTCTTACATAATAAAATAAATGCTTAGGTTGCATTTAGAACATGTTGTTTTTATTGGTTTGGTACCAGCATATTTAAATTTTAGGAAGAAATAAAAGGCAGCTTGGAAAAGCTGCATCTTCTAAATATAGATTTAGTAGGAAACTTTGGTTGTGCGGGTAAGGACTTTGGTTGACATTGAAACTGTGCAAGATAGTATCTGTAGTATTGAAGAATTAAGTCTCAGTCGCCTCAAACTTAGACAACGGTTGCAATTTGGCAGTGAAAACATTTAACCTTTGCTTGGGCAATACCAAAAAAATCATGAAGCTGATAAAGTAGGGAGGCCTCTATTCCAATCCCCTCCTCAAAGCAGTTCTGGTTAGAATGGACTACTCAAGGCCTTGCCCACTGCATCTTTAATAGCTTTAAGGACAGAACTGTCCAGGCAGCCTTTCCAGTGAATGATCCTCCCTAACTGATGGTCAAACCTTAACTGCTTTATTGTAAAGTCATTATCATTGCAAAACTTCCACGCAAACTAGTTGGTACAAGCAAACAAAATCAAGGGAATTTTTGTTCTGTAATTTTTAMAAGGTCAGCGTAGCCTTATTTCTTCTGCATTTTATCCTGTGTTTTAAGTGCCAAGGAAAACGCATTTTGAATGATAATGCAAGGGAGCAAAGAAATGTGCATGGCCAAGTTTTCAAATTCTGAATGCTTAGCATACTTCTTTCTGCTGTCTGGTAGGAATTGGCTTCAGAATAATAGTTTTGAATCCTCCTCTGAACTTAAAAATAAAGAAACCCCAAGAATTTTGTGCTTTATTTAATAGATACTATAAAGAGATAAAGGAGGCAGAATATGTTGCAGGGAAAACAAAAACATGAGAATCCTCAAAGTAAACTTCCCCGACCTTATTATGGTGTTGAGAACTTCATTGTGACCATTTTTGTAAGCTAGTATTTTTAGTACTAAGTTGTGTTGTAAATGTGAATATGACTATGACTAYTCCAGTTAATCAGTTTTAGATGACTTGTTGGTTTTAAAGTTCTTCTAGCTATTACACAATAGATTTCAAACATGGAGGCTGGAAAGGTAGGGGAGTTTAATAGGTTGTTTTGCCAGTAAAGTGTGAGATTATCCTTCAGAAAAAAACACTTAACTGTTTTCAGAAAAAGAGTAATTACTGATAAATTGTTATTAGTTTTTGGGATGGTAAGCGTTTTTCCCCCTTAGTGAACATATAAAAAGTATCATTAAGTTTGTARTAGCAGAGGTCATAACTAAGGCATTTCAAAATGTTTGTTTGTCCTGTAGCTGATTTGTATTTAAATTAAAGCCAGATTAGAGTATATAACCACTTTGGGTTAATCTGTCATGTTTGATTGATAATCCAAAAACAGGTATTTTTTCAGGGTCTATAAAAAGAAGAGCTGTACTTCAAAGTATGTACARATGCACTGAGGCATAGGAAACTTGAGAAAGAATGCCAATACATCAGTTAAATARTAAGATTAATAGGACAGTTGATTCTTAGTTTATCGCTGTTATCTGGTTGGTGTTCTGGGTCTGTGTGTGTCTGTGTGTCTATTTCCCCCACCTCTCCAAACTGGGCATTCTCTGCTGATTCTGCCTGAATAGATGGTACAGGTGCATGGTGTGATGCAAGCATTTCCTGATGATAGGGTTTTATAACATCAGATGTTTAGTGGTTTGGATGCACTGTATTTCCAGTACAAAGGACAAATCAGAGACTGTCTAATTACCTGGCTTGAAATACTGTTCTTCCTTTTTAAGTACCATTCACATAGTAAAGAGTAACAAATTAAAYGCTACAATTTGGGATGTTGATATAAAACATAGCAAGTTTCCTTAGTTATGCCTTCTTTGAAGTTGCTTTTGCTACCATTGTCCACAAATTGTGATGTAAAGGAKAACAGTTTCTGTTGGCAAAAACTAGAAATAGCGATCACCTACCAAAGCATTTTGAGGCATTTAGGAAAGGTTTAACAGGACAGTCTGATGAGCACCCTTAATGCCAAAGGAATGTGGGTTCAACAGAGTGGCAAAATAGTGGCTAGAATGGATACAAGCTTGCATCATGTATATGCCAGYAATAAAAAATACAATTGAGTAAATGGAGTAACAACAAGTCAGTCTTGCAGTAAGCATTCTTATCATGATAAAAATTTTTGCAGAAGTATCTTTAGGTAATATTTACTTCTTTAATTGCATTCTAAAATATTATTCTGGCTATGAAGTATTTTAATCAGGGACTTTTCATCTGTAGTTTCAAGGTCACAATTTCTGTGCAACATGCAAACTTAAGACATCACACATGCAGGACAAACTTGCCCAACACTCTACTTTTCTGCAAGTTTTTCTGTAATTCTTGAAGTTGCCTTTTTTTTTGKGATGCAGGGAGAGTGAATTTGATGCTGCTGTGGAAAACAGAAATATCTTTCGGTACCCTAGCTACTTATCTTTTAGGGGGGAATTAATCTAAACACAACTGCCTTTTTTTCCAGAATTGCTTTCTCAAGACATAGTACACAAATAATTGCTATTTGCATATATGTATATTATATGAAAACCTGAAATTGTTACGAAGTTAGACATCTGTTTTGGAGATGGATTACTTCAGTACGTAGGAAATGGTAAAGTGGTGATCACCAGAATTCTGATGTTGTGATACMACTATTGAAGTGCCTGACTTGGTGAAATAGATTGGAATGAATTAGCTAGATACTTTTGAAGTTTTGCTCATTGGTATTTACTTCTTGCCAACAGTAATTAAACATCAATAGTATGTAATTCAGGTGTAAAATGATTTTCTGGTTTAAAACAAAACCCTATGTTGTGACCTTTTCACTTTCATTTTCATCACATTAATTTTTGGCAAAATTAGTTTTTTACATGTCAAAACAGGTATGCATTGCATGAGTGGACAAAAGTAGCATCAATACTATAAATGCACTTCCTGGTTCATTTCTGTAACTGAAAGAATATTTTGTTATAACTTAAACTTGTTTTCCCACTGACAAGTTTAAATTCTTCTGCATTCATTATTCAGCAGAGACTAAAGCTGGAGGTGAACAGTGTAGTAGCAGCTTTCTGGCAGACAACCATACACTGTTTAAAAATGAACACACATAACCACCATCTCCAAACAGGATAAGAAATTACACTCAAAATGTGTAATTTCTTGCACACTTGATGGAATCAGTAACTGAATCATGTAGTAAACACATAAAATCTGAATTATGGTGTAGCATGTCAACTAATATAATAAACATCAACTGCATAAAATATCTACTAGTTATATCATGAAGGCACTTTTATTTAAAAGCAAAGCAGCATTAAACATAGATACTGGGCCAGGTCCTTATTTGTGGGTGTTCATTCTGTATGTATAAAGGAATGAAAAGTCATCTGAGCCTTCTGAAAGCCTGAGGAAAATGAAAATAAGAAAAAAATACACCTCACCCTGCCTTCTGCCATCAAGGGTGGGTAACAAAATGAGATCTTAATAGATTGTTGCTGCAAACAGTTTCTTGATTACTACAGTTACTTTAGGAYGTATAAACCCAATTATAACAGGTACAGCTAGAGATGCAAGAGATGTGTAGCTAGAGAGGTAATATATTGGCAAAGTAACAAGAAAACAYGTTCATAACTGCTTGTATGCTTACTGCAGTTTTTGGACACTTTCATCATGTAAATTTAAGCAAATGTGATTACAATATAACATCTATGCAAATATAATACAGGCATCTATTTAAATATTTCATTTTCTAGCTATGGAAATTGTCCACTTTGGGAAGATTTTTTTTCCATTCTTTGAAACTGGTCATTTGTTGTCTGGCACACAAGAATTAGTGCTGATTCTTGCTCCCGTTGAAATTTTAAATATACAGCCCTGGTGAAATTTTTGATCCAACATACAAAAGCCTTCCGGTAAAGGGTTTTTTTCCCCCTTAATAAAAAAACCCTCTTAGAATAGCTTTGTTATCTCACTTCCTTAGCAGCATCAAATTCGTCCTCCTCATCATCCTCTTCCTCATCCTCATCTTCCTCCTCTTCCTCATCTTCATCTTTTCTTAACAATCTGCGGGGAATCTGCTAAAACAAAAATCCAGCAAAAGGATATTAAGTGTTCTCTGCAAAGAAAAAATTCTCTGTTGGCATTTTCAGCCTAAATGTTTGTAGGGTTTTCATTTGGGGGAGGGGGTAAGTTTTTTATTAACCTTTCATAACATGCATGCCAACTGAAAGATATATGACACAAAATAAAAATACTGAAATGATTTCTAAAAGCTAAAAAAATCCTGATAGTCCTTGGCAACTATCAGAGTATAGGGAAAATGGTATTTTGATCCGATTAATGCTAAAAAAYAACAAGACGCAGATCAGTTTTTTCCTGGGTTGACTGTTGAAACAGCAGGCCGAAGATGAGTATTAGGGCTTAATCTTACCTTGAAGATTTCAAACCTCTTCAGTTAAGAGCTCAAAACTATGCAGCTCTAAGCTTTTCTTTTTTTTTTCCAAGAATAAATTAGACAAACTTAGTAAGAGTCTTGATTCATAGATGAACTTCTCTCCTTGCCCATCAAATGTTAAACACAAGTGCCAGCTGCCAAGCTTTCATCTCATTTGAGATTTTGCAGTCTCTACTTTTTTCTAATAAGGGCTCAATCTAATTCCTATTGAAGGTAGATTCTTCACAGACAGTGCAGCATTTACAATTTAAAGAAGGATATATGGGATTTTTTTTCTTTCCCATGAGAAAGAGAACATAAACACAGCTATCCAAGTCATCTGGAATGCTTTTGAAAAATTATTTCAGGTTCAGTAGTTCTCTAAGGGCTGCAGCTCTAATTTTGGTTATATTTTCTGTGTCTTCTCCCATACAGTGATATAGAAAAACTTCTGTACTGAAAACAAAGCTTGCCTTTTTTTTAAGCAGCCCCTATTTTAAAAGTCCATAAATGCTCATTATTAAATTGACTCCTGAGATATTGTAGTTCATACAGCCATGTATGTAACAGAAGTTTTTTGAGTGCATAAAGCAAACTAGTCATTGAACTTATCAAAGCAGAAAAAGCCTTAGTCTTGTTGATGCTGATGAAGTACATTATTTAGCTTGAAGCAAACGCTTGCTTACAAATTTCTGAACATAACAGAAAGTGGAGTTAGTCATTGGATGAAGTTGGTTTAACTTGAGGTGAAATGCCTAAAGCAGCAGTCTTATTCTTGAAAGAAGAAAGAGATAATGGCACTGATGTGTAATTGGAGATTAAGGAATGCTACAGACTGAGCCCAAGGTAGCTTCATTTCAATAGGGTAGACTAATTCTTCAATTTTTTTTTCCTAATTCAGAGCAACTGAAATTCTTCAGCAGAACTTGCACCATACTTCTTAAGAAAAGCTCCCTATTCCCCTTTCCTGAAAGAAGAAGTRTTTTGGCTTTATAGCCTTTATCTGCTCATTACTCAAATACCTCTGACCATGCAGCAATTAACTAAATRATATATTAAATATTATTACTGGTGGTGTTAAGGTGGCTCTTCCTAAGAAACAAACTGGATCCAGAAAAGAGAGTGAGAAATTAGGCAGTTCAAATCCAGGTTATTGTACCAAAGAACTAAAACACACCAGTTCTAAATTTTTCATAAGTTAATTCAAATTAAAAAAAAAAAAAAAGGAATATGGTAAGTTGTTGATCATAAAAAATGTAAAAATGAATTGTATGAGCATGTAGGTGATGACTGTCTTTGCTTAAGCCGTTCAGCTCCATGTTTCACTGCAGATGCTACTGCAGAAGCATGGCAATTTTCATGTCTTAGCACTGGAACACTYGGATGCAGACATTTTCAGTAACAATTAAAATGATACTTTTCTATCCCACAGAGTCAGTGCAAAAGTTTGTTATATTTAATGCACGTCCGTAAAACTTGTGTAGTTAAGTTTAAAATAACTGCAAAAGGTAATTCTGTTTTGCCATAGTTACAAAATACAAGATACAGCAACCTGAATCAGTAAACCAAAAYGTTGAGGATAAATTGCCAAGTAAAGTGCAAAATGAAGGAGGTAGCTCTTTGTGAAAAAATTAATCAAGCTTAAGGAGGACTTTAGATTTTTAACATACAGATAATACAGAAAGTTAGTCCACAGAAMCAGAAATGAATTCAAGGATGATATGTGTTAAATCCTCTGAAAAGAGCTGAATTGTGTTACTGGCCCACTTTATTCCATCTGATATGCAGTGACTTCCCACACTGTCCCCCATCTACAGGTTAGTGTTTGCGTGTGTGACTGTCTTCCCTGTCTCACAGACTTAGACCTTGTGATTTTGTGAACTGCTTACCACATTATTTATACTGCTTTACATTGGAAATTGCACAGTACTGCATTACATTCAGTAAAGGATTACTAAGTAGCAAGAAACTAGATTTGTGAAAAATTTCAGAGTGAAGGATCCACAGAAAAGATAAAACAAGTCACYTGAATGTTTTTCTGAACGCAGCTTTTTTTTCTCACGAGATGTTTGGGGGTGCCAGAGATTAGAGCCCTTAGAATGATTCAGCACCATGCTATTTTGCAGAATCAGGAAGGGAAAAATGGGGGGCGTGTGGAACAGGCTGCCTTTTCTTCACTGCCTTAGAGTGACTGCATTAGTTGGGTGTTCCACCCCTTTTTTCTGCTGCATGATCCTCCTCTGCAGATATACAGCATAGCCAAGATGACATTATTTTGAATTGCAGTGCAGTTTCTCTCCAGGTCTAGATGACTTTCTGTTCTTTTCAGGTAAGTAAGAGGTTATGAGAACACGAACATCCAGAGTCACAATTAAGAGAGTGGGCTAATAGAACAGAAACATTAACTTGCAAGTTAGTCAAAATGGAGTTCCACTCCACCTCTGGGAGAAAGCACAGTGTACATATATTCAGTTTTCTGCTGTTTTGCATTTTTTTCACATTTTCTGAAGTAGTTTGACCGTSAAATTTGCTAGTGTGAGAGAGAGGACTGGCAAGTTACTCAGTCAAGGTAGTACTTGATGCACTGTATCACTAGGTTGTATCTCTTCAGATGATACAATTCATCCTTTCAACAACAGAACAGCTCAGCTGTAATAATTCATCCTTTCTGTGTTGAGAGCAGAGAAGGTGTAAAGTGTGTAGAAGTCAAGAAAAATTTTCCTTATTACAGTATCAATGTATGGGTCTATTTAAGGAAGAAAAGTAAGATACATACATTTTAAATGTGGCCATCTTTGTCTTTAACTGAAACACTGGTGAGAATCATCATAGCTAAGGATTATTTAGTTGCAATAAATTAAAAATAATTCAGTCGTTTTGCAATGCCTGAAGTTTACTGCTGTAAACAAGTGGCAGAGACATTTGCAAGGTAGCTGGTCCAAAAACAGTGGCAGGGTCTTCAACTGTTTCACTAATTTTTATCATCCKTTTCCTGACCTGCTGTTTTCTAATTTTCAGAGTATAGAAGGAGAGATGTGTTGGTCATTGGTTTGCTCTCTTGCTAGAAGGTATCACTARTCTGAATTAGGATCTGGTAGAGAGTCCACACTCTAGAATCTGAATACTAAGAATATGCAAGTGTATTTAAAGAATGTTACTTCTATTTCAAGTAAGTTCCTAGATATATTCTCTGCAAGATGCCACTGTTTGTTGATGAAAGACAAAGTATCACTGGAAATGGCATTTGTCAAAAGTAAGCAACACAGCTTTAAAAGCCAATTTTTTTCCCCTTCAATGGTAAATCTGCATTATTAAGATCTTAAAATTATATTTATGCCCTTCAAAGTTTTTTACCTTTCTAATGGTCCTGAACTGAGTAAAGACAGTAGATCCATATGCATTAGCTAAAGGATTATCTTAAGTAGAGCTTTAATACAGCGATCTAGTATGTAGTTTTTCTTTCTTACCTGTACTGTTCTTAATGAAGATTTTGAGGAGCCAGTTCTTTGCAGGGGGGACTTGGAATTTGCACGAACTATGTCTAAGCGAGACTGATAGTCTGGTGGATAAAGTGAGCTCCGAAAAACCTGATCAAGTGAAGAAAGCTGTGACTTAGATTCTTGCAAGCTAAGAATCACCAAGACTGAAGGTAGCAGAAATGCACCAYTGGACTCTAATCTAGAGATGTGCATCAACTGTTGTTTGGATTGATCACTTTTAGCTGAAACAACATTCTTGYTTAACCTGAGACACACCAACACTGACGTGATCAAAGTAAACATTCCTCAGAGTTTGAGGGCATTTACACAGGGRAAACTGCAATGGTTTCCCACCAACATATGCAGCTGTGTTTCAGGCTAAGCTGGATGTATGAACCCCAGCAACTTCTTCAGGCTCTCCGGTTTCTTGCAAAGATGAACTCTTAGCCCCRTCACAAGCAAATCCTTACTGTCAGTCACAACTGCGTCAGACAAATTTTACTGGAAATGTACAGATGTACAATTCAAGTCTGGGAAAMCTCTTAAAATACAGGGGAGACCATAACATCCATTATATTTCCAAGTTATTTCAATAACTAGTAAAGCTATTTGAGCAAGACTTTACTGAAAGGAAATGGTAAATTATGGTCAGTATTTTTATGAAAAGTAAATAATTGCCAAATTAACAGAAAATTTAAAATGTGATTAGAAATTGGGTTGTGAAAGACGAAGTTTTGACTTAAAGGAGATTTCTGAATTGGTGYCATGTGACATTATATTTGTGAAATTAGAATAGTACAAAATTGCCATGGCAGAGTTTAAATGAAGTAATCTCAAATTACCAAGTAGTCTCAAATGTGATTGTCACTGAAAAATCATGGCTTTTTAAGTCTTGTGTTAACTTGGTTCTGCGCTGTCATTGACAAAATGAAATTATGACTGGTAGGATTAACAAAAGAAAACTGAAAATGATCCAACTTTCTTGACAAACTGAACATATATACCTAACACATTTCAATGTTACTGARTTTAAAGGCCCAACATCCAGAAGAACTGCAAGTATGAATAAAGGACTGAAAAGCATGTCTTGGGAAAGAGAGACTATAACTCAAATAGAAAAGAAAGGGTGACCTGAAGCTGTTAACTGCCACAAGGCAAAAAAAAAGAAATTTAGTAAATGACAAATGTCTCTTAATTCTCTAACAGCCTAATTAAAAATGAATGAAAGATGAAAAAATTTTCAGATTAGAGAGGGATCTTGAATGCAGTAATTAGTTTTTACATCGTCTTATCACAGCTGTGTAAGATTTTTTTCTGTGTGAATCTTTAAAGCAAGATGGACTGCAGAGGTGTTCTTTAAAAATTATGGTTAGCTGAGTGGCAGATAATTTTGTWAATCTTTTCTGTGTTTTGTGAGAAAGATTAGATTGCYACTGCAATTGCTCTCTGTTTATGTWCTCTGAGATCATAAACCTATATGCTCTTGCTGAAGAAGTACAAAAAAAGGCTTGTAAAACATGAGTTTGTTTTSGGAACCTGAAACATTTGTTGCGTTTTTCTGCCTGGGACATGTGTAGCCCAACTGTGAAAACTGTTTTTATACAGGAAGTAAACAGAAGAGCAAATCTCAATCACTCTTACCTCCAAATCTTCATGTTCATCAATATTTTGGATATTTTGGTAGGCAGCAGTATATATCTCTAAAGCTTTCCCATGGAACAACATTTCAATAGTTATAAATTCAGAAAATATGTTCTAAAAGCAAATTAAAAGAAAGGCGCAGTGAAGTACATTTCCACTTAAAAAAAWTACTGCATTCTGCATTTAGTATTTATATGATATAAATAACTGCATGATACTTAGTTCTTTTAAGTAGTCAACCTGAATGTTAGAAATTAAAAATATATGCTGGCTGGGCTATCACACAGCTATTATTTCCTAATAAATTCTAAATAAATACTTGAAGAGTAAAGAGGAAACATATTAGGAATAACATGTCTTACTGAAAAATCTCTTAATAATCTCCAATAAGTATTCACAAGATGTAGAATTTTTGCTGTTTTGAAGACTATGTTTTATAACAGGTTTGGGATAAGTTATCTGTAAATTCTATACATATCTAGAATTTACAATTCTGTGATAATGAAATATTCATTAATACCATGAGATTTGCATTTCAGTGAATACTAAATKTTACTAATCTTGCCCCCAACTAACTACAGTAATTTTATTATGTAACATGAAATGTGAGRACACATACTTTGATATCCTTTATCTTCTGTTTCTCAAAATTATCAATGGTTTCCTCTAAGTGCCGAGTTATTCGAGTAGCATCCAGTGACGCTCTCTGCAGTTCACTTTCAGCCTGGYAAAGTAACATAGAGGTGAAATTAGTCTTGTATTTGATACAAAGCTCTTTGCTCTAATTGCCATGAAAACGTTAAGTCTGAGCTTTCAAAACAATACATGTCTGTGTTACAGTATTTTAAATCTGTAGCTTAAAAAAATATATAAAGATGCCTTCTATATTGTTGTGACTGATGTGAAACATGAAAAATTACCAGCTCTAGGCAGTCAGGAAAGTTCCTCTGCCCCGATTAATTTTCTGCAATACTATATGATAGTTTTACTGAGCCAGCCCTAATASTCCATTGAACAACAGTTTCTGGGTTCAGGTGCTTAACCCACACCAAGACTGAGTGGTGGGTGAGCAGGAAATTATCACCCTTGTTTACAAGTGCAGATCAACCTGCTGGGTTCAGARTCTTTGTCAGTGTTGTGTGCTGAACCTCATCTTAGTAAGTTTTTACAAATTACTTAAATAAACAATTATAGCAGCTGCTGGAATGAATGTGCTTACCCTGTAAATATCTCAATCTGCAGGCTAGAGTTATTGTAATTTCTAGATTCAGAGGCATTTCAGGTATTTTATATTTTAAATATTTTGTATTATTAAATTATCTTAAAAAAACCCATCTTCAACTGGGCACTGGGAAGGGGACACATCAACCAATTCCTAAGCGATAAATATAGTTTTTCTTGTTTTATTACAACAAAAAGCATTTTAGATACCTGTTTTAACTAGCTATAATGATGAACTTTTTATAAAGTTTACTACCATTTAATGAAAGATACTGAAACTATTCTGATTAAATCAAGTCTGAGAACTGTGTACTATTACAAATGAATGATGTACAGATGTAAGACCTTGCAGCTGAAGTCTACAAAATTTGGGTCTAAACTYCTGTTATTTTCCATGCATTACTGGTCAAACATCATATACTTATAAGTGATACTTACAGGCTCAGTCAGTAAGTATAATGAGAAAACTATTTTGTCATGAGATTTGAACATAATATATGGCTCAAGTATTGTATCCTATGGTCAAGCTGTAGGGTTCTTCCATTTCTACAAAACAGTAACTTAAGAGAGGATTTTCTTTTTTAAATGGAAAAAGACACCACAGGTCCAGTTCCTGTGACACAGCTTTTACTGTTGCATATATGGAAACCTAAGGCATACAACACACTCTTATTCACTTTGATTATAATCTACTAATCTTATATTACAGGATCATCAATTTGAAACAATCTCCTTTTGAAAACAGCTAAAAGTCACAGAAACAATTCTGACATTACTGGGCAAACAAAATTGCTAATGATTTTAGTAGTRCGTAAGGTCACACATTCATTTCTTGATTTTGCCCAAAACACAGGAGTAAAGGACAGTAAGAAAAGACATTTTGTATTTTCAATTAGTTCAATTAGTCACTCTCAGTAAGTGAAGGCAATTATTATGCCTAAGCAGCCCTTACACATAAAATGCAGTATGTTATTTCTATGATAATCAAATATATCTTCTCAATAAGTTTTAAATAGATTGGCCATAATTTGTGCAAAAATGCTTTAGGAGAGGAATTCTGTTGTGCACAACAGCAGTTTGATATTTTCTCTTCTGAACACTCACCTGTGACTGGAAATATTAGTAAAGGAAAAAATGGCAAYGTAACAATCAGTATTCATGGAAATATCCATTTTCACTTGTACTTTTAATATACTGTCAACTATTTAGTTATTTCAAAATGTCTACATATTTAGTGCTATTATTAGATTATCTAAAGCTTCTGGCTGAAGGATATATAGTTTGTTAAAACTTTGCTACAATTCAAATATCCAGGCCAAAACGTTTCAGGACAGCTGTTTGTCTTGGACTGAGGGTTTGGTTATTTATTGTAAAAAAATAAAATTAAAAGCAGGCAACCTAGGTAGACTACTTCAGAAAAAAAAATTGATTTATAAAAATGTATTTTTGTATTTTTAAAAATCTGGTAATGTATTCTTTCAAAGCTGTGCTAACAATGCTTTTGGTAAGATGGGAGTGAGTACCACATTCTTCGCTATCTGTGGCTGAAGTAGTTCACTGCTGCAACATCATAGTTGCTCAAGACTCTGCAGGAGCTCTGCTGCTCTGCTCTAATGTGGTAAACCTCTCTCAGATCTGAAAGCTGACCTGCACACACCCTCAAATGCAAATGAACACATTCCTGCTCCTAACAACCTTTTTATGCATTTTGTGTCAATCACTTTAAAATGCAAATATGCAGCATTTGGTGCATTTGACCCTGTGCAGAATCAGACTGTACTGAGATTTTATAAACTCTTTAGACAAAGCCTGAAGTACAGAAAACATGGGTGTTATGAGTAGCTAAGTTACAGAAAGATATTTGGGAAAAGCTTAGAAAAGAAATGAGAAGAAGTGAACTAGGTGCCAGTGATATACCCATGAAATTAAATGGGAGTTTGCTCAAGGGAGAAAATTGGGACCAGGTTCCCTTTGGGGAAAACAGCTTTCTGTTATAATTTACTCCCTTAATTCCAACAAAAGAGAACTTTGCAACACAGCCCAAGTTCTTACCCTGTGGCTGAYATGTCTGTCTTTTTTACATGAGGAATTCTAATCAGTCATCACTTAACTGATTTGATTAATATTAAATGCAAATTCTTTGGCAGAAAGACAAATAAAATTGAGTTCTCCTCTGTTGTGTTTGACCAACATGATCATTTTCACTCTTTCTACAGTCTTGTGCCCCAGTCACTAGAAAGATCCTGAGGATTCTGAAATAGAGTTGATAAAATCCAAAAAAGAAYAGGACTGCTTAACTCCTGAGTTCAACACTAAAGTGTAATAAAAAGTAAACACCGTATCATGTATCTAGATYCTGTATTGTAATACCTAAGCATAAAGGGACTGAAGTAGGGTTGCCTTGAACCTGCTTATTTTGGCATTCCCTAGAYTGACTGCTTCAGAATTTGAAACGTCAATGAGATTTTAATGGAAATTCTAATTCAGTTTGATGGAGGCTTAATTTTTCCCTCTGTGATACAGAATAGTATAATGGGGGGGGGGCAGCATTACTGGTCTTTGGAAAGGAAGGGTAGTCTAATTGAGTATTCTACTAACAGAATAACAACTTTTGTGCAGCTGGAGGAAACTCATATCCCACCAAGGTTTCAGAAAGCACAAAAATTTCCAAAATGGCAGGGAAAAAAACAATACATCCACAGAAAAAAAAAAAAAGTCTGATTACACTTACTTTTAAAAACTTCCAAATTCCTAGATGTAATCTATGCCTATCTCTCTTGCATAAATATATCAAATAATTCAGAGTTTCTTTTCAATTCAAAAATAAGTAACAAATCAGCTGTTAGAAGCTGATCATGAAGTTTGAGATTCAACATTGGAAACAGTCCCTCTAAGGAGCATTATTGTTACTACTACTTCCTAAACACAACAGTTTAATTCCCAAGAAATTTTAAAAATATTCCTCATAGTAACTAGAAATGCAGGATACAATAATGTGTAGATCTGATGGATTCCTCTGACGTGTCCTTTCCAGTTGAGATAATTGCTTGGCTTCTCGGTTCTTTGCTGTTAAAGTTGCTTTAAGATCATCCTGGAAATAAAATGTTTTAAACATGTTTGAAATACATATAGAATAATATAAAATATGCTTTCCCTCATACATACATTGTCTAGAAAACATGGACTTCTGCTTTGAACAAAACTAGATTTTACTGCTTTTATCCTGTTAATTGATCCTCTGAAAGAGAAGTCATTGGGGACTGAAAGTTTAGCACCTTGCACATCTCCCTATAGCACATACTATAATTTAAAATGTGGAGAAGAAAAAGATATTCACAGCTTTTCATGAAAAGTATAGCAGATGGTCACAAGCTGAGATTCCCAAAGCATTAAGAAGGGAGACTCATTCCTGACTTAGCAACATAATAAAAGTGGAATTTAGAAATAAAAAGCAGCATCAAATGAAGTGGCATCAGTAAGAAAAAAAACCAACGAAATGGCAGCAGTGAGTACCGAGCAGAATTCATGGAGAAAACATAATTGCTGTCACCGGTCCACTGCCAACTGCTGTCACTGCTGACAGTGAGCTGGYGAAGGGGCTGGAGCACAAGTGTGATGAGGAGTGGCTGGGGAAGCTGGCAGTGTTTAGCCTGGGGGAGGCTCAGGGCTGACTTTATYRCTCTCTACAACTCCATGAAAGGASGCTATAGCCARGTGGGGTTGGTCTCTTCTCCCAGGCAACCAGCAACAGTATAAGCTTATATAAGCTGTACCAGGGGAGGTTTAGAGGACATATTACGAAAATTTCTTCCACTTGAGGCAMTGTCAGGCATTGGAATAGGCTGTCCAGGGAACTGGTGGAATCACCATTCCTGAGGTGTTMAAAAAAAGTGTGGATATGGCACCTAGGAACTTAGTTTACTGGTGAACATGGTGGTGCTGTACTAATGGTTGGACTTGATGAACACAGAGGTCTTTTTCAACCTAAAAAATTCTAGAGTTCTGTGCTACACAGATTTTAAGGTACCATAGGATTTCTATGGCTGAAAGGGTTAAACTGCATATTTATATCTATGCATTTAGTAAAGTGTCTAAAACTATTTCAAACAATACATCCAAGTAATGATGTAGGTGGTGAATATAAAAACTGATTTAGAAAAGGCAGAAACTATTGATAACCATTTTTGCTTCTCATTTTCAAAAGAGAAGCAGGATATACTTCTAGGAAGACCATTGATAATTTAAGAATATTTATCTACCAGTTTTCTCAAATTATTTTTCATAATCCTGTAAAACTGTGTTTTGTTTGACATTCATGGAGTCTAAGACTATCAGTCAAGTATTCATCAGTCCAGATGTTGGTACGGAGAATAACATTAATTTTGATRGTTCCAGTTTAAAGGAGAAGTAGTTTAGAACAAGCAGAAATACACTCTGAAGCCTAACAAAATCTGAGGCTGGATTAGACATGCATTTCAAATGACCTTTTACTCAAAAAATACTATTTCCCATTTATTACTACTCCAGAATGGAGGGAGTTAGAGCTAATTAGAAACGATTATATTGGGAAGTTGTCGGTGCKCCTTCCTTGGATTTCACAATTTTAATGTTTGTATGTCTCCTCACTCAGAGTGACATACGACCAAGACACAACAAGATTGCCAAGTTCCTCAGTGCTGTGTGCTGCTTCAATAATGAGGCTGTGTATGAAGTCAGGATCAAAACCTGCTGGTTTTGCCTTGTTGCTATCCTTACTGTCTGTCTGCATGTCCTTGTATATAACTGTYATTTTGTTATCATCTCTAGGGACACAGAGCGGTTTCTGACAATAAAAACTACTTCATTTTCAGCCCATCAAAACGAATTTTACTGCTGTTCTTTCAGAAGGGAATTTAGAATTTACAGCACCTTTAAGGTCAAAGACTGCTGAAAAGGCCTTTTGCCTTTATGAAAACCATGCAGCTGCAAGAAAAGCAATAATAGAATTTTTTATTGTTTTGAGTTTTAAATTTTAAAGGTAGAGAAAGAGAAAATAACATATTTATTGTTTAAACATAAGAAAGGCTTCTATCTAATGGTCACAGCTGCATGTTTGGTGCTATTTAATGACTGAGCCCTGTTAAAGCACTGGCTTTCTAGGCCCATTTAGAACAGTCCAATTGAATACTGTGGCTTAACAGGGTTCTGACTTTCATGCCAAGTGTACTTGAGGATGCAAAGTTCTAGAGTTACCATTATAAAATTCAGTATTTTCTTTCTAACATGCAGGGACTTTGGAAATATCTGTAGGGACAGAACTGTTCCCTCTTCTATCTCTGTTTTCTGTAGCAACAGCTACCATGAAACATACTTTTCTTCTAGCCAAAGTGTAACAAAGAATTAGTGCTACTATGGCGGCAGTGGTGAAGTTTTGCATGTACAAAAGTAGGGCACAGTCACATACATATTTTGTCTAGGATGTTGAAAAACTGAAAAGGGTGCAGAAAAAAAACCCCAATAAAAACAGAGCTGGGGAAAATGCAATTTATGGTGAAAGAATCAAGGTGTACATTATTACCTAATAGAAAAGAATGACAAATTTGTTTTACTAGCATCTAACTACTTTTATGCAAAAAAAAAACAAACCAGAGTGTTACAGAGCTCTTTCATTGCAGTGAAGCACATAAGAGCTAAAGATTAGATGAAATCTTTCCTTTAAAACAAAACACCACAAACATCAATTAACCAGTAACTACCACAAACACTCCTACATTCAACTCCAGTGTCCTTAGACCAAGCTTTGACATGCTTTTAGAAAATACGCTTTAATTACACTCAAGGAAAAATGGAATGGAACAGGCAATGAGATAAAAGGTATAGAGAATGTAAAATTATTAATAGTCCCTCTAGTTTTTAACTATGATTTAAAGTCACATGYAAGAACCCTGGTCACCCATCTAATTTCAAATCATACAGCTACAGTTSATCCACCAGACAATGTGCTGGCAGGCCTCATCACTGTACTGTTACCTGCTTTAGTCACTGAAGTTATTAAAGCAAATCAATCCTTTCTTCTGCACRTGGATCACCTTGGTTTTATGATGTCCTGTTTTACATGAAGAAAAGGAACCAGGAACARAGTTGCCAAAAAGCAGAAAAGTGAAGATTGATATACAGAACAATGAAACAGAAAGAAATCCTCATATCCTACATTTAAGCTGCATTACAGGACAAGAATATTGTATTAGCTTCCACTGAAGCTATCCAGCATCGTAAACCAGAACAAGTGAGTGAAACAATTTTATTACATTAGCAGATAAAGCAAAACACTACTCTGATTGACCTGGGCCTCTTTAAAGCATTTAGTAGCACAGGACATTGATGTCTTAAACCATAGGAAGGTGTTTTTAGACAAAGCACAGATACACTTCTGTGTGTGTCCTGGAACAGATCCAGTAAGTAGGCAGCAGTGAGAACATCCCCTTTAGAGAAAGTGCTATAATTACATATTCTGCCTGGTTTTACTTAGCTAATGTAGTTACAGGTAAAAGAGTTCTAGAACTAGCAGCTTGTGCAAGATTTCCAYGAGTGACAAAATTTCCTTTGCCACTAAATATGTTCCAGTGTTTAGAGATGATAAATGATGAGCACATAGTTGAAGTTCTAACCAAGTTTATGGTCAATGCAATGGGAAAAAAAAGTAACCATTTAATGACCTACATCTTTAGTGAACTCTATCTTAGTTCAAAGGTAAACTGGTAAAATAGTTAATCACAGCTAAAGTTTAAGAATGCTCTTGTACTCTTCAGTGTAGCTAAAATAAACATTATGCAATGCTGTCTGACATTCTGAAAGGCAAAGACCTCAGGAAATTCCATTCACTATTGCAAGCAATGACTTGGTTTCAGTTGCTTCTGTCCTCAGCATTGCTGGCCATCAGTGGCAATGCACCTCAACAGTCTCTTCAATGCTTTGGATGCCTCTAGCACTGATGTAATGTTTTGTTTCTCCTCAGCAACCCTACTGCCACAAACACATGAAACTCSTCTTCCACCCTCAACATTTATATCCTACAGAGTAGTCAGTTCTAGATCTCATGGTTTCAGAGTGACCATTAAGACACCAGCTTTTAGGCTCTATAGTCTACAGCTCAGCTAAGAACTACTAKGGGTAGTCCTACTCAAGTCTTTCACAGTTGTTTCTCTAACCACCAAGTGAGGAAACTGCAGTAAGTTCCAAACACTCTGCTCGGTTCTTCACCATATGGAAAAGACATAGAACAAAAACATTCAAAAACTGCTTGCTTGAGATGCAATGCCACAAATATACTCAAATTAACCATGATGAACACACTGCAAGAATTTTGCATGTAAAATACCATCAGATAATAATTTAAAATTTTGATTTATGTAGGTTATGATAGAGACATATACATMAATTTCAGATTTGAGTTTGCAGGATTAAGGTATTCTCTGTATAAGATACAAGTATTATGAGGATCTACTTTCATCTTATAAAGTAGTATATGCTTATTAAAAATTATTTGCTCAAGCTTATCCCTCCTGGAGGAAAGAAACTTACAGATATTTTAAGGGATTATCTCAAACCCCTCTAAACACTTTCTAAAATGCAGTGAATGAAGAGACCTCAGATTTTTGTGTATCTTCAGGTCATCATGATGACCTAACAGAGGGATTTAGGTCACTACCTACTTGTCAGGTTTAAATGTGTTTTCTAAATTATGAACTTTAATGTAGAACACAATTCTGAAYTAGAAAAGCTGTTAAAGGCAGCATATTGATAATTAAGAGCCAAAGTGTAGTAGTAGTAGTARTAATAATAATATCAAAATSAAACAATTGTAAATTATCCTATTCATAAATAAAGAAGTCTCGAAKTCACACTATTCAGGAAGTTTCACTAATGCCTTTTCTGAGTATTTGCTTGTGCTCAAAGAGTCTGAATATCCTTGTCTTCAYATCAGAGCTCTTTCCTTCCACATATATATAGCTTCAGTTCAGATGTCTAACTACACAATTAWGATACACTGATTATGGCAATATGAAAAATCAATAATTTCCCCCATAAACTGAAAGTTTTCAACTGAATGACAAGGACACTGAAATGTACCTTGTGAGAAAACAGATGTTGAACCTACCCTTTTAAGTTTCACTATGGCCCCGTAACATTTCAGAGGTTCAACAACCTTGGCTTCCAGCCTGTCAACCTACAAAAAGAAACCACAAGGTTACTAAAATCATCYGTATCTATGGTGGCAGAAATGGGAAACAATTCATTTAATAGTGACTCATCTTATTAGGAATTAAATCCATATATGCTGAAAAAAATATTAGGATAAGAGTCTCTTAAAAAATTTTGTAAAAACTACAGTCAAGTATGTTAACCAAAAAGTAATTTGTTTTCTGAAGAGCTCAAGCTGATTTCTAGTGGAATTCCTTTTTTCTTACTTAGATCAGGAAAAATGAAACCTGGAAAATTCAGAATACATCAAAATGAGTACTACATACATCCAACATTGCATCTTGGAGCTCTATAACTTTCTATTTAAAGATCAACATATTTGCTCTACACTTATAGAGAGGTTATGGACTAAGCCATCTTTGCTATCAAATACACTGTACAAAATGGAACAYTTCTTAAAAATAATGGAAACAGCATCCCTGGTATTGAGTGCACTAAAAATACCCATAACAGGGTGTGTAAAATGCACAAACACTCTCCCAGATAAATAGTTCTGAATTTTTGTTTCAGTCCTCCTGGTCAGAAAAACAGCTACATATGGTCAGACAGGCAATAGGATAAGACCTGCTTGTTCAATCTGACAAAACCATCTGAGTGRCCCCAGCATAATCTGCCAGTGACCTACGGACCATGAGTGAGTCATGTGGCCCATCAWTGTTACAYCCAAATCAACTCAAGGTGCACACCTCTAGTAGGAAGGGACAGTTCCCTCTACACTGGTAGTTGTCAGTCAGCCAAAATCTATGCCAGCTGAGCAAACATCTCTTCTTTACATGCTCTACCAGCACACCGTCAAACAATTTCACCTGAACTGCCAGTAGAAWGGAATAGGGCAGTAAGGCTCTAAACACCACACATTACAGATGTACCAGATAATCTGCCCATCTTGCTCATTTACCCTGTCACGTGTTGCGGTACCTCCCACCTCAGTATTCATAGATCTAGCACTGTAGCTAAAGACCAGAAATTGATAATCCTTATAAGCTAATTTTCTCTTGCCCACTTTGTCAACATAGAGGAAAACTGTTAAGYGATTTGATGCCCCAGAAGAAACAAAGCTGAGATCTTACATTTTGTTTTCAGAAGCAAAGGAGAACTTGATTTAAAGACTAAAAGCTTTTCCTTTGTTGCTTCTGCCTTTTCTTCTTCACAGGGCAGTGCCAGTYTGCAGACAGGCATGGCAGGAGGATGTAGGACAAATGTCAGTTTTTAAAAATACATTTAAAATCGAAAGAAGCAAAACTCAAGTTGTTACATACGTACCTCAGAATTACAGGTTCACAGTTTAATGATGAAAACAGAGAGATCATRCAATCTGAGTTCACATACACCTTTGTCCACAATAGAAATTGAATCTATTAGCAGAGGATAAATTGCTATGACAACAGTTGAAGCGTAAGGATCTACAGAGGGCTTATCTGGAGACAGATGTATAAGAGTTTATGAAAAAAAACAACAAACCACAGACACCCTTACGTTTCTTATTACTCCTTAAAACTCTCTCCCTAAATATATTGTTAAAGATCCACATATATTTCTTGTATTTCAAACTCTCTGCTTCTCATATTAACTACTTTTAAAATGTTTTCTACTTTGCTAATACGGAAGGATGAACTTGCAATGCTCTCCAAAATAAAATAGTCCTATTGGAAAACATAAAGAAGTCTCACAAAAGACTTTTTTGAGTTACAGGGGGTCTTAGCTGTTCAAAACTATAAATGGGAATATTCTACATTCTACTAAAATAATAGATACATAGTCCAAAAACTATTTTGAGTACATGTGAATGATTTTTTTTTTTAACTCAGTATCTGGAATTCTGCATTGTAGRTAAGTTTGACTGGCACCACACACAAATGTGTAAGCAGGATAAACACCTTTCTTTACACTCTCACTCATCTGTCAGAAATGTGGCTATAAAGTCACATATGGTCCAAATCAAGTTTGTACTCGTAGTATKGAACTACAAACTTAGGAAGTCTACAGTGGTCCCTGACAGCAACTCTTCCATACTATTTCTGATAATGCTCAGCAAAAGGAAATTGACTGATTTTGTCTCAGCTCCTGCTAGACAAGTCATACAATTGAACATTTATTAAYGATAAATCATAATCCAAAGTCTAAGATCAATAAAAAAGCTTCCTATGTCTCAAATACATTGAGAGTTCATAGGGATAATTTTGCTGACTTCAACAGGACTAATTTTAGACAGCTTTCACTGAAGCTGTTAGGAGGGTAAATGATGAATGCTTTGGCAGCCTACACTGCTCAGACACTAATATATTTAGACATGTTTTCTTCTATGCTTCTCTTCCAATTGCAGAGTATATGRTTTCCCTTTTAATCAGAGATAAGTAGCTGAAAAGTTCAGATGGCAAACACAACATGTACAGCTTTAATTTTGTACCTCTGCCTGGCGATAATCCTGAAGTCTGGAAAATTCATCTGCAAAGTTTTTCAATCCAACTTTTAAGTTTGGTGTCTCTGTAGCTGCATATGCATATATTTCATTTACTAGAAGATCTGCTTTGTCTCGTAGTCTGGCAGTTTTACGTACATATCCAGCAAATATTTGGCACAATTCACCAAAATGTTTTTCCACATTTGAAACAGCATCTTGTATTTGTCTAGTCTGATTGTCCCTGGATACCAAAGAAAAATAAGTGAAAAACAAGAAAGGTACAAATGTTTACAACACAAACAGAAGAAAATCTATATAATTATACTATTAATAATTTMATTTCATCTCATTTCAGTGCAAAGCAGAAATTTATTCTTAAAAAGAGAATGTTGTAACAATCTGATGTATCGTGTGCTTATTTATGAATGAATAACAAACAYAAAAAAAGCAGATTTGCACTTGAAGATCCAATAGAGGAAAACCCAAAACATAAAAATCTGCTTGGAAGTTTTCCTCCTGCATTTAATCAAAAGCTCWCTATTACTATTGGTATTAATTACTAACTCAGTGGTAACACCTGCAGTCTCAAACAAGACTTCTACAAAGACCAACCTTCCTGCAACAGCCAGCAATCTAACAGGTAAGTCAACAACYGGAGAAATTAGGCAGTAGAGGGCAAATTGGTAAAGGTATTAAATGTTCTTTAAATTGTGAACAGTTACCAAACTGCTTCTGATCACCAGAAGAAGAAATACAGAGAATAARTACCACTGAGAATTAAAGAAGTGAATGGACACAAGAGGTGGAAACTCTGAAACCACTCAAAGGACATTCATCACACTAATAAATTATTTTCTTTTAAACTACATAAATCTAATTAAGTTATTTGATCCAATGTGTGGTGCATTATTAATGATCTAGGTAAGTCATTCCTGTAACTCACATTGCTTTCACATTCCTATCTTATGTAAATTCATGCTAGTTGTTAATCTGACTGAATCAGATTTAAGACAATTMAGATGAGTACCTGCCAGATACTGGGTCCTAAGAAATCTCTATGGTCTAACATAAGGTTATTGGTGTGAAGTGCTGGAATTCTCAGAAGGAGAATTCAATCCTATCACTATCTTGGCAAGGGACATRAACAAAAACTTCCTTCATATTCTTAAAGTATCCCAATATTGCTCACTAATATTTAAATACTGACTTCATATCAAGACATATGATGATTGGAATAATTTGAAGAAATTTGGTACTTTGAACAACAATGCAGTCAATTCTAATGAGAAACACTTTTACTTCAYGAAAAGTATTTCAGACCTTCAGAAGTTCTGCCTTGGGCAAAACCCCAGTTGGGTTGCTTCATGGCAAGCTGCCTGGAAGACTGTYCAAAAGAGATTCTTTTAAGGTTAAAAAAAAAATCCAAGGAAGTTATTCAATCCTCCAGGACACGAAAATCACTTGAATAGGAAAGGTTTCACCAGGTGTGCACACAAGTATGAATTTCATTACATACTAATAAAGTTGTTTTTCAAAATGAATACTATCTGACAAGATCTTCAATAAAAGGTCTATCTTTCCTATTTTCTTGAAAGGTCTTCATGCCAGAAAGTGTTTTCCTCCAGGAGGATGCCATAATCACCCACTTTACAATTCAGATCTCACAGTACAACCATGCAACTAGTTTTTAATTTTGSGACACGAAACACTACATTTTCTTATATGGTGGTGTAAAAGTTTTTATTCCCCCCTCATTATCGTGGCCGCTTAGAACTGTCCACTGAATTAATCGCGAGAGSTTCAAACAAATATCGGCAGCACATCTTTATTCCATCTCTGCACAGCACACTAGGCCTAGAAAAGTTTTGCGGCCTTTACCGGAGGAAGGCAGAGGCGGCCCCCTCCCCTGGGGAGGGCGGATGCGCTAACAAGGACCGGGCCCGCAYCGCTCCCCGACCCCGCGCGATCCCCGGGCACCCTGCCCGAAGCGGGAACAGCCCGGGGCTCCCCCGGCCCTCCGCGCCCCCGTACCTGGCGTCCAGCCCGCGGCTCAGCAGCATCATGGTGGCGGCTGCGGCGGCGGCCCGGCGGGAAGCAGGGAAGGAGGGCGGCGCTCCGCGTGCGCTCGGTTTCCATGGTCACCGGGAGCCGGCCCGGCCCCGCCCCTCCGCCTGCGGAACGGAGCCGCACCGGGAATCCCGGAATCAGTTCRCTTGGAAARGAGCTGTGAGATCATCCAGTCCGACCTCCGACCCAACACCACCGTGTCAGCTAGACCATGGCATTAAGTGCCACGTAAAGGCTTTTCTTAAACATCTCTAGGGACAGTGACTCCACCATCTCYCTGGGCAGCCCATTCCAGTGTCTAATCACTTTCTGTGAAGAAATTCCTCTTTATGTCCARCCTGAACCTCCTCTGCTGCAGCTAAAGACTATCTTCTCTTGCTGTGTCACTTGTTACCCGGTAGAAGAAACGGACCCTTGCCTTGCTACATCTTCCTTTGAGGGCATTACCCGGAGTGAAAAGGTCCCCTCTGAGCCTCATTTTCTCCAGGCTAAACACCCCCAGCTCCCTCAGCCGCTCCGCTCCTCACAGGGCTCATGCTCCAGACCCTTCCCCATCTCCGTTGACCTTCTCTGGACTCGCTCCAGCAGCTCAATGTCTTTCATTAGTCTGTAGGTGAGGGGCCCAGAACTGGACACARCACTTGAGGCCTCACCAGTGCCCAGTACAGGGGGACAATCACTGCCCTGGTCCTGCTGGCCACAACATTGCTGATCCAGGCCAGGATGCCACTGGCCTTCTCGGCCACCTGGGCACACTCTGGCTCATGTTCAGTGGCTGTCAAGCAGCACTCCCAGGTCCTTTCCCACTGAGCAGCATTTCAGCCGCTCTTCCCCAAGCCTGTAGCACTGCAGAGGGTTGTTGTGACCCAAGTGCAGGACCTGGCCCTTCACCTTATTGAACTTCATACAGCTGATCTTGGCTCATTGATCCAGCCTGTCCAGCCCCCTTTGCAGAGCCCTTCAACAGTCCTGCCCAATTTACTGTCATCTGCAAATTTATTAAGGATGCATTTCATCGCCTTATCCATATCATCAGTAACGATACTGACTATGACTGGGCCCGGTGCTGATCCCTGGGGACATTGCTAGTGACTGGAGTCATCCAGGCATTCTGCAAACCTAAGCTTGCCCAAGGGAGCTCTTTATTTGTAAAGGTTTTTTTTTTTTTTTTTTTTTTTTTTTTTCACCAGCCTTGGCAAGTGGCTGGTACCAGGTGAACTGGCCAACCTGTCTTCACCTAAGGGAGAGCTGTTGAGGTTGGGCAGCCATGGGAAAAATCCCATGGAGCACCAGGAAGGGTCTTAAAAAAGAAGAACAACAAAACAAAATCAAACAAAAACATTATAAAAAAAACCCAACCCCTCCTCTGCACAGTGGTAAAGTATTGGGAATGTGACCTCAGGACTCTGTGGCTGTGATCCTGTCTCAGAGATCCTGCATGTGCTGTGTGAGATGAATGYAGAAAAGACTCTTGAAGGGGCAAAGTGGGAATTGTGCTGTGTCCAATACAAGCCCATCTGATATTACAGTAGTCCATGAGAGCTAAGGACTCAGACAACTATCAGCGTGCTGTCACAGAAGTACATGACAACAACATCATGCAGATAACAAACTCAAGTTTTAATTTGCAGCTAAAACCAATGGCCAAAAGTAATGACAAGGTGGGTAATGGTGATACTCCCATGGCATTTACCAGGTTACAAGTTTGGTGTACCCACTGGGATTATGTTACTACACAAAACGTACATGCACACACACACACACACACACACACACACACACACACACACACACACTCAAACAAGGGGCCTCTCACTCAAGAGTACCCAGAAGAGCTAAGGACAAAGGATCACTCAGGGACATCCAGGAGGAAAACAGTCATTTCCCTGGGAGAGAATGGTGAGAGGGCACTACTCAGTCCCAGGAACTAACTCCACTTCAGTCCTGAAGTATGGTACTTGGCATAGATGTTAAAGAAACTTAAATTGTATATTCTGATTTCACACATGGTTTGACTTAATAGTTCTTAATGCAATGCTGTAGATAGTCCTGGAATATATGGCCCACCGGCTCCAGCTGCACACAGAAAGCTGGAAATAATGTTGTGAGGGCCTGTTGAAATTTTGAGTCATCAGAGCGTACAAGAGCACAAGCTGCATAAATCATGGAGTGGAAAAATATTTTTGTACCATGATTTAGAAATAATTATGGAGAATTATGTTGAAAGTAATGCCAAATTTCCTGCTCATTACCTCTAAGTAAGTTTCCAGACTAACATACTAAAGATGATGACATAAATGACAAATTCTGCAGATAAGAAAGCTCTGAAATGTCCAATTGGCAGTGTTTTCCAATATTCTTCCAGAGTACAAGCAATAAACTCCTCCTGACTTAAATCAGCTCGAGTAAATTCTTTGTACTATTATATTGAACAACAGTATGTAACTCCAGCAGTGCTCAGCAGCAGTGAGGAATTGTCTGTCATTACTGGGTAGAAAAAACAGGACATGCATAAGTCTGTGGAAACTTCAGAAACACAAATTGGCATAGGATTTCTTCCATAATATTTAGGGAATGCCTTAGCCAATAGYAAGGTAAAGCCATATTTATGGGTTGGGATTTCATCAATGAGTGTGTCCTAGATATATGTAAAATACTTCCAGAATATTCAGCCAGCTTTTGTTTGAGTTAGGGATGTTAATTTATATTGTATGGTAATTACAAAGTGATCTATACAGGCCCAGAGGTTCATCTGTGCACTGCAGTTTATGCTATTACATCTGTATGTAATTGATGAGCTGCCTGTATATTCATGTTATGCTTCTTTTCTCATGGTGTGTTTTTAACTTTAGAATATTCTTTTTGCAATCTTTAAACTTTTKGTATAACAATCCATATTCATGTTCACTTATGCTATCAAATGGCTATCACTGTAGACCTTGGATGTTAAACAACATTAATTTTGGTAGACAAGTTTAGCTCCTAGAGGATTGAGCCTTATTCAGATTTAATAATTTCACGTGTTTTCTCCTTCTGCAACCATTTCCCTCTTCCTGCTATTTCACTTCTTTGGGTCTGCAATTCCCTTACTTAATGCAGGAACTAGACCACCTCTTATTCCTAGTTCGGTGCTTTCTCAGGAACAAGAGACAACTTTTGGGAAACATCCTTCTCTGATGCACAAGTCTCCCATACCAAGTTTCAGATATCTTAATTAAAAATCAGTTAGTTTGTTAGAGAAAAAATTGTCAACATAATTAGAAAAACAGTAAAACATTGTTTCCTCAGGCTAATACCCGCAGGCCGGTATCACCTTCTGTCGTCCATTTTGTCAGTGTTGGTAAAAGCATACAGCCTCTTGATGATTTATGCATTTGCCTATTGTTTTCTACTTCTTTAAAAGAGCTTTAGCCACTGTCAGAGTCAGGATGCTCYGCTTGCAGGGTCTTTGTTCAGCACAAGCATTCATGTTTTTGAGGTGTTTTTTCTTATAAACTAAGAGGAATTCTTCTGTTTGTTTCCTTGTTTACCTTTGTGTATTTCTGCCCCTGTGCTTCTCTTTATGCAAACCAAGTTCACAGGTGAAATGCAAAATATGTCTGGAACATGCTGCTGCACAGGTTTTTTTTTGATGTGTCTTGTTTTCAGTGATCTATCAGACAGTAAGCTTTTTTCAGTGTTACTGCCACTTTTTTTCTACYGTGTAAACTTTCAGACTTTTTTCTCTCTCAGACTCTTATTTATGTAGTAGGACCCTAAGTMCTTGGCTTGCTTCCCCAGCCTGACTAATCCAAATTTTTTCTGGTTTATCATTAAGACCTACTGCTCAAATATGAACAGATAAAGATGTTTTGTTGACACTGGTTTATGATGTTTGAAACTCTTTTTCAGGTAAYTATATTTGTTGCGATGCAGACCATGCTCTCAGTGACATTTGGTGAGTACTGATTCATATTCCAGGGAAGGAATTGGAAAACATCTGTTTCTTGGATTCAYGGTCTACATGATTTTAAATGTTCTTATTCATCAGTGTCAACAAATGATGTTCCAGTTTTTGTTGGTTGCATTGTAGAAATCCCAGATTAGGCTGTCAGAACGCTTCACCTGAATCGTGCTCAAGGTTCCTGAGCTGCGTGGACACATTGTGAACATTGCTGAAGACAAAGGGCCTGTGCCAATCTACTTCTGTTTTTGGAAAGATGGCAGAGAGGACTCTTTGGAGACTATTACTACATATCTCCATGGAAATCTTTAGTAAAAAGCAAAGTATTTATTTGAACTTAGTGTGTAGATGGTGAGGAAAATAAGTTTTGGAGAGTGGGTCTGCCACTCATTCTGCAGTAGTGTCCCTCGTTCCTTCAGTGGCAGTAGCCCTGTCACAGCCTGCTCAGCTTTCCAGGGCTCTGATTGATGAAGGTAGGCAGTGGAGCCAGGCTGTTTTGCCATTCCCCTCAGGCTAGTGCCAGAAGCAATCTAATCTGCCTTTTGTTTTCAGATAACTGTGTTAATAAACACATTAATTAAATAGACACTTGTATTATTAACATAGTACATAACTTTAATTAGCAAACAGTTATTTTCCAGACATACTTTATTATTGAAATGAGTATGAGTCAACGAGAACAAACAAGTCAGAATTATTTGCTTACAATTTGGTATTATTTGTATTTATTAAACTACCAAACTGGTGGCAAGTCACTTTAGTGCCTGAAAAGTGGAGCAGAGAGTATGGAGTTCTTTGYCCCATTCAGCAGGCAGGGGATTTCTCCTAGGTTCTACACAGCTGAAGTGAGTGAGGTTGGAAGAGTGATGACATGGATGGAGCTCATGTCTCTGAACCAGGTGTCTGCAGCATGTACCAGGTGCAATACCTTTGATAGAAGGTTCTTCATATCCTCCATGCCAGACTTATGCTGGTAGTCATGGCAGAATTTCTGAAGGTTATCTATAATGCTCTCCAAGAATGAGGGCATGTTTCTAAATTGCTTCTCACATAACTTYTTCCCAGAGATCCTAACAACAAGTGGCAAGGGTTGTCTTATACCCTTGCT